TCATCGGTCAAGCTATATGTATCATCGGTACACAAATTACCATTACATAATACCAAAGGTTTGAATAGAAAATTTGAATGAATGTATAAGATACATATGCCTTTCAACGTATTTTGAAATTTTACAGTGAGGAAGAAGTGAGAAAGAAGTTTCTGGGAAAATTATATTTCAAAATATTCCATTTTAAAGTTTCATTAATAAAACCTAATAGAGTACTTTTCAAAACAAAATAATAAAAGTGTAATTAATTTCAATAATTTTATTTTTCGCAGGTTTCGGCATTCTTGTAATCCAAACATTCTAAAAGACTTTTAATGTTATTCATCTTCGCTCTTTTAAACGGAAGATTTGCTATCTATTGCCCAAAACAAACAATTCATAAATCTCATTGTATTTCTATGCTGTAATGTACACAAATATACAAATAATCTGGACATATATTTTATCATGTTGTATGATTGAATTTTAAACGAAATGTCCCCTATTTAACAAGCAATTAAATGAAGAAAGGATATTTCTATAGAAATATTTGAATCAATAAAAAAGTTAATAATATTCCTATAATATACTAATGGAGACGCTAATTGTGTGAGGCAAATACTTACATAATCAACAATTTTACTGCCTTTATCTGAATACATTTTCATCTAATTTGAATATTATTTCCTCAGTAGGTTTGTATTAAAAAATTTATATTTATAGTAAAACGCAAATATATAGTATCAAGAAATATACAACGTTGATATAATAATATAAATTGTAATGACATAAATTTATTGAATTTTATCAGTTTATACATGATACAAATAATTATTTAACCAAAATAAATTATCATATTTTGATGTTTAAAATTCTAAATTGCACTAAAGTTATGAAAGAAAGACCAAGTGTCTGCATCAACAAATAATTGTTTTTTAATTAATTAGAACCAGTTAGAAGTGAAACTCTGCTCATTAATGAACAATTTCAAAATCAATAAAATCATTCAAAGAAATTAACAAGCGTGAACGTTGTATCTTAAGATACAATTCTACGTCACTAACGTGAATAATCAAGTATACAAATGCAGATCTTGTTTGACGTTTCGCACTAATCTTTTAACCAAAGATCGTACAAACCTGTTTCCTTTACAATTTTCGTAAATTTCGTAAAATTCATTAATAATATTATCACTTTCAGTGGTAGGATAACGTGCAGGTATTTAAAGGACCGTCATCCCGAACATCGTTTCAGTAGTCGAAGGATTATCAATAGTTCTAGTACTAAGAACTTCTTTTGTGAAGAACATGAGAACTTAGTATGAAAATAGCAACAATAAACAGGTAAACGAAGATTACTTGGCATTGTTTAGTTATATTTTGACAGAGAGCAATAGATACTGAATTTAGCATTTACTTTTATTTTCTAGTTCACATTTTACATAGTGTGTAAAAATGATCAATCTGTTTAAATGATTTTTAATTTATTTATCAAATTAAATTTAAGAACAAAATCAAACTTGGAAATAGTTAGATAAATTATTGTAGTCACCTCTGATTATGAATATGAATGAACAATGATAACAATTGATCAATATCTTCAATAAGGTGTTAAATTGTCTGTCAATGATAAAATTGAATTGTGAATATTCCTTGCATTTTTTACTCCATTTTTCATTTATCTCTTTTGCAAAAGCAACACTTTTTTCCTATTTAAATATGCATTATTGTTATTATTACTATTATTATGCATTAAATTGTATACAGACACAGTTAATAACGTATAAAATATAAAATCTCTTCAAGAATAAAAATTTTTAAATATGAAATTCTTTTTAATTAAATATTAAACATTATATAATAATCATTGTAAATAATATTTAATTTGAATTTTTAAATCATATTACAAATAGAACATTATTCGAAGAAAACAAGATAAGAGAGTTGCATTTCAATGAATTATACCTACGATCATATTCTTGACGTATCTAATCTTAAGTATTATTAACATATTATAAATATCGCGTTGTCCTCTTTCACTCGAAAGACAATATAGTATTTCGTTAACACATTTGCATTTTATATAAAGGCGATTTCATTTTAAGAGAATAAACTTAATTTGAATTTATACAAATACAAAATATCGCTCGTATGGAATATTTATAAATTTAAAGTTTTTTTTTTCTACAACCATGTCTATTTGTATTTCCACCAATTCCGTTTTTGATTCTAACACCTGAAATATTTTTCAAAAATACGTTTTTATTATATTTGCATTTCCATTAATTCTATTTTTGATTCTGACGCCTAAGACATTTTTTTAAAAGTATGTTTTTATTAAATTTGACAATCTACAAGAATAGTCACACATTTGATTCATTTGTCAATAAAATTTATTTTTCTTCTCATTAACAAAACTGTGATTAACAATGACATTAACAATATAAAAAACACAAAACAAGTTAAACATTAAAAAAATTATTCCTTTTAAATTAAAACTTTACTAATAGACTTTACTAGTAATACAATTAGAAAGATTCTATATTAAAAAAAAAAAAAAATAAGTTTAGTAGAAAAAATAAAATTTTTTCATTCAAGGTTTCGTTTTCGAGAAAATCAAGTTTGAAAATTTATCAAATACATTTGAATTTGGACTCTGAACTGGGCAGCAATGAATAATAATCATTGAAAGATTATTCTGCTTGCGAAAATAAGTTAAAAATATGGAATGAAATTTTTTTAAAATGCTTTTTTTACCGAATAATTATATAATACGTGTTCCTCGTGAATCACACTGTTTCTTCAAATAAGAGTCCTTCTAAATATAATATATAATATTTTATAATATTCAGCACTTCAATTTTATTTAAATCATTTTATCTCGAAATAGCATTTGAACTAGTAACAAATAATTTAATTAAAAACCGGTTCAGAATTTCTTATTAGTAATTTTCTAATTTCTATTTTTACACATTTATTATTATATATTTATACATTACTTTTGCATGAAACATTTAATTCACTTTTTCATGTTCACAAGAAATTCTGATACTTCTAATAGAAAGTAATTAACCATAACTGATTGCGGATCATAACGAATGACCAAATAACTCGTCGCTTTCTTTTTGAACTCGTCGGTGATATCACTGGATCGAAATTATTGAGAAGTAAATAAATTTATTATTGGTTATTTTGCCTGGGTTTATATTTAAATATACTTAGAACTGAGAAAATATTGCAATTTTGAAACAAAAAATTCTCGACGTGCGTGGCACGTCATTCCACCGCAAAAGGCTTTAAAGCTGTGCCTTAAACGGTTTAAATCGTTAGATGTTTTGACACTGATTTACAAGTTTGTTTCGATCATTGTTTGCTCATTGTTTCGGAGCGCACATTTCATACGATTGAACCTCTGATCGACCGTTTTTTCTGTTTGGGTGGAATGCCACCATCGATCAACTGCTCGACATTTGGAATGATTAATTAGCAAATTAAATCATTCTAAATTTGTATTGGTTAGCAAACATAATATGATTAGTTATCAAACATAATATGAGGTTCGCAAATAGAGCGAGTAGAATGAAAGAGAGAGAGAGAGAGAGAGAGAGAACAAGAGTGAGTACTCAAATTTTTGTCAATCATTTATTGTTAGATATTCAAATAGATTTGACATTTTTGAAATCATTATAGTTTTGTATATTTATGGTTTATATACTCTATTGCTCAATGTAACTCGTTTTTAAAAAATTATATAACACTTGAATATGATCATGACCGAATATGATCGCGAGTCTGTAACATATACAGGGTGTTCCGTAACTTGTGGGACCCAGAGCTGATTGTACGCCTAAAAATAATGAAAAAAATGTCATATAAATATATGTCCTATCTGTCTTCGTTTATGAGATATAATNGCCTGTTAGTTTCCCATCAAGAGAAAAAGGTCCAATTAAAAATTTATCAATTATTCCTGCCCATACGTTTAAACTAAACTGATGTCGATGTCTTGAATGCACAATAACATGTGGGTTTTCTTCATCCCAATTATGATTATTATGAAAATTGAATGTACCATCCCTGGTAAAACTTATTAGAGTTTGCTCTGTTTATAAAATTTATTACATCTCATAAATGAAGACAGATAGGACATATATTTATGACTTTTTTTCATTATTTTTAGGCGTACAATTCGTTCCCGAAGTGACGTTCACAAGTTACGAAACACCCTGTATATTGTATACAGGTGCATTTTTAATCTACAAATGAAATTATCTCCAGAACTCTAAGCTATTCATTACTCGAGAAAATATTTCAGACAAGTGTTATTATATTTCGAGGAGAGAAATATAGAATTGATTCATTTGTAGGTAGAGGCGTCTCGGAAATTTCAAGTTTTTCTAAATGGAACTCTATATTTTTTCATACATTTTTTTATTTTCTGTAAGAAAACAGTATTCCTACCAGTGTCAAAAAATTGTTAGCTTAAGGGGTATTTTATTTTATTTTAATTTTAATTTAATTAAATTATAATTTAATTATAATTTTAACTTAATTTAATTTAATTACAATTTTAATTTAATTTAATTATAATTTAATTATAAAATTTATACGTGGAAGGTAATGCAAAAGTAAGTATTCTTTTGTTCACGCTGTTTCTGTCGAAACAGAGTAAGATTGTCTCAAACATTTTTTTCAAATAATCAATAATTTGGAAGATAATTCCACCTCTAAATTAATTAATTATGCCGAACATCCTGTATACATATAATATATAAAATACATTTCAAGTTTCTTCCAATATCAAGTAATGTTAACTTTTATAAAGTTGAAAATTATGAATCTGTAATTTTGCAAAAGCAACCCTTGCGAGTGTCGTCATCTGCTGGTTGTCAGCAGGTGTAGCCTGTGGTTCGACAAACGTCGACAAATTCAGTCTCGACTCTTCCGTCGTTACGAAACGTTGTTGGCACGAAAATACGCGCGAAAATCCGTTTTGAAAATCGATTAAAAGGAAAAAAATGCAAATTATTTTTTTTTTTTAGTGTTGAAAAAAAGAGTATTGGATAACGAATAAAATTTTAACGAATGTTCATCAGGTTTCTCTGTCGCCTTGGATGGATAAGGATAATATACTTATTTGAAGTTTCCTTCAGGAATAAAAAATTCGACAAAATGGTTTGCTTGGAGGATGCACGTACCTGGTTTGTTCATCCTTTCATTTGTTTGTTGTTATTTTGCAAAAAGGAATGTTTCTGAGGGCGATCCAAATTTTATGTTTTATCCATTCAAAATCGGTTTGAAGAAAAAAAAAAAAAAAGAATACAATTTCTGGAACAATTTGAATATTGAAAAACTTTCATGTGCATATTGTATTCAAAATATTTTAGAATTTCATTAGCATTATACATTATATACAAGGTACAACCATGATTATATTAAAATTTAAAATCAATCTGAAATATATATTTTATATAATATAATATATATATATATATATATATAGAAATTACAAAGTAGGTAATTATTGTTAATCAGAGCTTGTAAACAATTATCACGAGATAATATTTACTACAAAGATATAAAAATTTCTGTTCAGACTGATCGTTTTAATCCTTTGAGCATCGTAGAAATAATCTGGTGCTTAAAATAATTAATTTACTTATTAATAATTTTCATTACATGATTTCATTTCATTAAATGCCACTTATCTGATGGAATAACCAAGAAAGAAATAATTCCAAAATAATTCGAAAAAGAAAGACAAATTTTTTTTTTATTTAAGACTTCCCTTTCGAGAAAATCAAATTTGAAAATTTAGCTAATTCTTAACTGATTCGGAAATGAATAATGAATAGGAAGCTAGTCTATCTGTAAAAAGGAGATTGTTTCTTTTATAATAATATTGTCATTATGGAAAAAATTCAATTTCAAATCTGTTAAGCCAATATTTAATTCAATACTTTCAAAGTCTATCTTCTTGAAAACAAGGTGTTAAATAAAAAAATTTTATCCTATATTTTTCACTTACTTTCGCAGGTAGAACAACCTACCGATTATTAATTAAAATTAATCAAATTCAAGAAAATACTTGAAAAACCTTCAAATTTAATTTTCTCGAGAATAATAAATTTTCTTCTCAAATGAAAAAACTTTATTGTTTTTTTTTTCCGACTTAATTTTTTCCTGCAGAATCAATCACTCTCTTTCTGATTGTGTCGCTAAATCGGAAACACACCTCTATAATTTGCCTATCAATAATATTAATATTAATTTAATAACTATAAATTTAATAGTAATAATAGCTTTAGTAATTTGAATAATTATGTCAGATATATGTTCAAAGATGAATTCTTGATTTATATGCTCCTCTATCAGTTAACGATTAAATTTTTAGATTTTTGTTAATTTTAATGAACGTTCAAAGAGTTAAACCTTTAGTAAATGTGATATCAGTGGATATTGAGATTTACTACTATAATGGATATTTATGATTTCTGGAAAATACATAATTGCAATTTTTAAATATATTTTCAGATTAGGTTTCAAACTTTACCAGTTTATATAGTTTATCATAATATATGATAGATATATGCAGCTAAAATAAAGAATTTTACAAATAAAAAATTAAAACTCCAACTTACAACAAACGATTAATAAATTAACAAATAATCTAATGTGTGTCAGATTAATGTGTTTAAGAAAAACATGTCTTGCATAACAAAAAAATGTTATTGATTTGCTTAAAGCTTATTTTCATTTTAAATATCCAAATAACGAACAAACTTTAATTTACTGTTGGGAAACGATCATTTTTCATCAATTCTATCAATTTATTGACTTATGAAACGAATTATCTCTTTAACAAATACTGTAAAAGAATGTTTAATTATTCTGTATAATTAAGATTCATATCTACGTGCATTTATTACATTTGAAATACATCATGTAATTTAAACAATTCGTGTCGTTTTGAATTTTACAATTTATAAAAACTATTATACATAGATATTAAATAATAACAGATTTGCATATATGGTTTATAGATATAAGTTTTAACATTCACGTGTGAAGAGAATGACATTTGTACGAGACTTTTTCTTTCTAGAGCACGGTCACTTGCTGTACTATTTTTCCTCAAGGACCTCCGTTTTATTGATATGAATCGATCGGTTCATTAAACATTCATAAAGTGCCCCTACGTATCAGTCATGTCTTGTGTAGCAGGGCTTACACGTTCAATTGAAATTTGTACTTTCAATATGTGTTCGTGAAATCCCCATAGATATAGCTATTTATTTACAAAAAAAATTTGAAATTTAGGTTTATTATAATATACTAATACTAATATTATAATTAGATATAATAGTATTATAAAACTTATAATATAAAATGTTATATAAAGTTATATAATATTATATAAATATTATATAAAATTATATAAAGTAAAATATAAAATATAAAATATTATATAAAGTAAAATATAAAATATAAAATGTTATATAAAGTAAAATATGAAATATAAAATATTGTATTTGGTATTATAATATTAATATTAGTATTATAAATAATTTTAATCAATTTGGGCGACAATGCATATAAAAATTTTATATAGAAGACAACGTTCTCTTCTGTTTCCTCACTTTTAAAACATTGGCATTTAAAAAATTTTTCATAAGAAATATTTCTACGTGATGAAAGCTGAAATTTGTTAGTAATCAATGAACGAGCAAGTATACTTAAACATTGATACTAAATATACTTATATGTTAATGTTAGTATACTCATAATATACTTATATGTTAATGTTAGTAATTATATTAATATTAATACTAAACATACTTATGTGTAGATTTGTTTATTTATAATACTACTAATACTGAATATACTTATGTGTAGATTTGTTTATTTATAATACTAACACTAATATTATAATTAGATAATAGTAGTATAATATTTAGTATTATAAAACTTATAATATAAAATATTATATAAAGTTATATAATATTTTATGTAATAAATTTTTAATGTTCATAAAAATACTTGAAGTTAGATTATATAATAAAATTAGCTGGAGCGCAAAGAGTCAAAAGATCTTTTATTTTTTAACTTTTCGACTCATACTTTTTTCTTCTTCAATTACAGATATTGGGATTGAAAGAGCAAATGCCATTCAACATGAGTACGATGAACAGAGAAATTAATAAAAACGAAATTAATGAGAAATTAAATAAGATAAATTCCATTGAGGAATTTTACGCTGGTACTGGGATTCTAGTGACGGGAGCAACAGGTTTTGTAGGGAAAGCTCTCCTCGAGAAGCTGATGCGCGTGTGTTCACGCGTCGCTGCAATTTTTATACTTATTCGACCGAAGAAGAACCAAACGATAGAAGAAAGATTTAAGAAGCTCATAGAAGATCCTGTTCGTAAATAATACTCTTACTGTTTTTGAACATTTTCAAGCTCTCAGAAGCCAAATTGATCAACCTCACTTTTTATTAATTTCTTAATCTTATTACACAAATATAATCTATACAGTGATGAAACATCTATACAAATTCTTCCAACATCTCTACAATGACAAAAACGAACTTACTTCCATAAATTCATTTATTACATAATAGTAATTAATATAACAGTAATTAACAGTATCTACATTTTGAGATAAATTTAATAAACAGTATTTATACAAGGTGTTTTGCGCAAAATAGGCTATCTAAGTATTTGGGCTATTATTGATGATAAAAGAAATCATTTACATTAGATTGAACTTGCTTAATATCACGTAATTATCTCCTGTTAATAGGTTTTTGTCAGGTAAATGCATAGAAGATATATGAAACTCAATTTCGTTTTTATATAACCATATAATTTTCAATGTTTTAATTTAAACGTATAATTTAAATATATAAATTTTCAATTCAAATATATAACCATATAATTTTTAATTGAGCCATCTAGATAAATTTTTATAAAAAAAATTGTTAACATTAGAACTAAATCCATCAATATGATTTCAAATGTTTCCCTTCTTACATGCTGAAAAGATACGAATATTTTTGTCAAAATATACACTGATTTCTATTTAGCATAAGCATGACCATGTAAATCTATTTACTATCATCATTAATTCTCATCATTTCAATCATAATGATTCATAGAGTATTTTGATATGGAAGCATACACATCGAAAGAACTATAAATCATAAATGGCACATAATACACTACATACACAAACACATAGAGAAAATCAGCTCTTTTTAGAATCAATATAATGTACAAAGTCCAATCAAACAATCTATATGTAAATAATAACGACTTACGCAGAAATAACAAGTTCATAGTGTTTTAAAAAGATCTGAATATCAGCTATAAAAAATACGTTGCAAAAAGATGGAGGTATGCAGTTAAAAATTTTAAAGTGGTCTTCGCAAGACGTGTCACGATCTCCTGATGAAATAAGTAAAAGCACAGTTTGTCTCTCTCGCCCTCCCCCTCCAATACTATGCAACTTTGGTTAGAAATATTTTTCCATATCACCCCTTCTTTCCCTAAATATTTGAGCATTCCTACATAATAAACCAAACGCAATATTATAAACAACGTATTTCCTGAAAATTGAACCTGTATCTTCCCTCTTTCAGATTTATGACAGCGTAAGAAAAAGAGATCCCTCAATTTTCGGCAAAATTTGCCCCATAAAAAGTGACGTAAGCCTGCCAGATCTAGGTCTTTCGGGAGAAGACAGGGCTACATTGAGAGAAAATGTGAACATAGTGTTTCATGTCGCGGCCACTGTAAGATTCAACGAACCACTGGACGTGGCTGTCAACATGAATACGAAAGGCACTGCTCGTATAATCAAATTGTGCAAAGAGCTGAAGCATGTAATTAGCATCATCCACGTTAGCACAGCTTACAGTAATACAAATTTATCAGAGATCGACGAAAAAGTTTACACGTAAGAACAAACTATATGCAAACGTCTTGAAGTTTCCATTGAAACTGTGCATAAAAGTTCTTAGCTTGTAAGTAATGATTAGAATGTGACAAATATGTTCACTTGTTTAATTAATAATTCTGTAGCACGAGCTTAGAACCTTCTGCAGTGATCGATATGTGCGAGAAACAAGATAGAAAATCGATCAAACAACTGGAAGAAAGAATTTTGAAAGTGCATCCAAACACGTACACCTTCACTAAAAATCTAGCGGAGCAGATTGTGGCTAGCAATAGTAACGGTTTGCCAGTTGCGATAGTACGACCAAGTATAATTGGTGCCTCGCTGGAAGAACCGTGTCCTGGCTGGGTGGACAATATATATGGACTGACAAGTATTTTTTATACATAACTATTATATTTTATCCATTATTACTTTTTTTATTTCTTAGATATAAATTAATATATTTTACAGTAACAATTATTCAACGCTTCTTACATTTCACCATACCATATCAAGCAATTATAGTCAATGAATTATGCAAATCATTCATATTAAATATTATATTAAGGAAAAAGTTTCCTAACTTTTTAAAAAAAAAGAATTATTTATCAGTATTTAAAAATTAAAATAAAACTGTATACGTTCCGTCCTAGTGAACTTTCTACTACAAAACTATACTTTTTCTGTATACAAAACTGTATTTTTTCTGTGAAATGAAGACCTTTGAAAATATCAGGCAAATGCTGGTGGATTCATCATCAATAAAAAAAAAAAAAAAACACCCTGCTTCCACAAAATGAAAGGACTAAATTGTAATCGAAAAATTGGGTTCCTATAACTTTGTGATAAAATGCATTCTACTTGAACTTGTTGTAAACCTCTATTTTCAGAATACATTTTTCAGATTTCTACATCATGTAACCGTTATATTGTAATGGCTAGGAAAGTGAATATATTTTTTCTCTCTGAAATTTTTACAAATTTCACACGTCTTTACGGACATTAACAAGTTTAACTTTTTCAAGATTAAATCCACTGTACACGCATTAACTTTTTAAAAAAGTTATTGTAAAAGAGAAACTTCAAACTTCAAACATATGGTGGATTTATTCTTGAAAAAAAGATCGTTAATGTTTGAATTTGTAAAAATTTTAAAAAGAAAAGATATGTTCACTGTCCCACTCATTACACGATTCAGAAATCTGAATGATGGATTGGCAAGCAAAGGCTTCACTCTTTGCAATTTTAAGCAGGATGCTGTACAATTTTTTATCACAAAGTCACTTTAATTTTGTGAGATTCTATGTATTACGTAGGAACATACAACTGTGTTTGTGTTTGTTAAGTTAAGTCGTTAAAATAAAATTTACTTTATAATACGTCTTAAACTTTTTATCTTTTTCTTAATAACATGAGGCGTACACGCCTGAACGGAAAGTCACAAAAAATTTATAAGGAATGTATAACTTAGTAAATATATATAAAACTATCCTGACACAAATAATATGAAAATTCGTTTAATAGTCGTGATCCCATGAAGATTAGAATCACTAATTTTTCGTAATTGTCAATAAGGAGATCTTGATAATTATTACTATTACTCTTACCTCTGCTGATGCAAGAAGATTAAATAAACAATCACGATTATTCTTCTTACATCTCTTTATCATTAAAATATTTCCGATAATCGAGAATAGTTTGAATAATTTCTAAGTTAATTATATTAATTACAGGCATCTTTCTACAAATTGGGAAAGGTACTGCAAAAGCGATAGTAGGAAAGAAAGACGCAAAATTGGACGTAGTGCCTGTTGATTTTGTAGTCGACATAATAATATGTGCAGCGTGGCATATAACACTGCAGCATGATAATAAAGTTAAAGTATATAACTGCACAAGTAACGCATATCCCTTCAGGTAATATTTATTACGAAATTTTTTTTCAACCAATGTAACTCAATTATTCAAGATTCAATTATCACAAAGCTTTAATTTATTTTTATATCACTGCAATTGAAATACAAGAGACTATATACAAAACAAAAATTTTGACATCATGTACTAAAGTTATATTTTTTCTCTGAGTATAAGGATTTATAGGATTAATATATTAATCGTAGAAATATAATCCTCAAAAGAATCAGTTGTTGCACTTACATTAGATATTTAGTGCTCACATTCACTTTTGTGCTTGCATTAGGTAAATAGAAACTATAATTACGTAATAATTCTCTAATAATAGTATTTTCTATTTTAAATACAATTTAATTAACTTTCGAAATGTTTCATTTTTCAAGATGGGGTCAGATGAAAGATATAATCGTACAATGTAGCATTGAAACGCCGCTGAACGATGTGTTATGGTATCCGTGTTGTAAAGTAGTAGCTAATAAATTTGTTTATAACGTTTTGAATATGCTTCTACACATTTTACCAGCGTTTGTCACAGATATCTTTTTAAAACTACTAGGTAGTAAACCAATGTGAGTATTCTATTATTTATTGGACAAGAACTAGATGCATATTTATAATAATCTCTGTCTTTATTCATAATAATAATATTAAAAAATGGCATTTTAGGATGATGAAAATTATCAAATATTTTAATCAGCTAGTTGCAGCGACAGCGTACTTCAGTACGCACGAGTGGACATTCCACAGAAACAATATTACGGACATGATGAAGAAAGTAAAGACACTGAAAGATAACGACATCGTGAAATTAGATTTAAAAGATATGGATTGGAAAAAGTATGCTACAAATTACATGATGGGAATTAAGAAATTTATTTTGAAAGAAGACTGTAAATCTATGAATGTGGTGCGACAACGATTATCGCTGTACGTATAGAAATATCTTATATAAAAGAAAAAAAAAATATATATATATATATATATATGTATAACTAGTATACAAAGTATCACATTTAAATCAAACATCTAAATTATTCTTACTATTATTAAAAATAAGAAAAAATAAACTGATAAATGTGTTCATTTTGTAACGGTAAAAATATCTGAAAAATTGCTGAGAAACTAGTAACATCAAAGTGTGTTCTCCTTGATGCAGGTCATATAGTTATTCAATCTATTTAGATTGAGAAATTATCATATTATCATATAGAGAACAATTTCTTGTTTTTTTCATCTTTAATACACATTACTTTCTATCTAACAATGAGTACAAAATGTACAGAGTGTCCATAAAGTCTGTGTGCTTAAAACTGTTGTAACTTTGTAAGTATATGTGATAGAAAGAATTTTAAAAAAAAGAAACATTTATATTTTCTATAGTTCTTGTTAATCATTACTAATGTTTTCAAGCTGATTTTCGGTAATACCAGCAATCACATCAGTTATCCTAGCTCGTAAGTCTACTAGAGATCAAAATTTAGTTGAATAAACATTAGTTTTCACATGTTCCCATAAAAAGAAATCCAATAGAGTCAAATCTGGCAAACCATCTGTTAGATCATATAAAAACTGTCTAACATGCAAAAACAAAGTGACAAGAAGCATCATCTTCTTGTTGAAACACTGTATCAGCCCTCTATCCAGGGCTCTATCAGCCCTAATTGTTCAAGTTGAGGAATAAAGTAACTTTGCAGCATTTCTAAATACCTATCACCGTTAACAACATGCCCTTCAAAAAAGAATGGCTCCTCTATGACTCGATTTTTTCCCAAAGTACACCACACATTAACTTTGGAAGAATCTCTTCCATGTTCAACAGACTCGTGTGGATTTTCAGTTCCTCAAATTATGCCTGTTACATTAAATTACTGAAAAATGCATCATCATTGCTAAGATTTCCAAATTGATGACAAAAAGTTAGTCATCCATGATAATTCCCTTATAACAACAGTTGATACACTTGAATTTTGTATACTTTCATATGAAATCTTGCTCCACAAAATCTGTACACTTTCTTCACTTTCTTCACACATGTCGTGCCAGATTGTGACTTATTATTAACAGAACCTGTTTCTTTAAATTTTTTCATCCAATTAGATATGGAATTCCTGTATAGTGCTTCTTTCTTGTACTGGATTCTAAACTTTCTTTGGATAACAGCAGATTTTAGTTCAGCCAACCAAAGAACACAATTTACTTTTTCATTTGGTGAAGCCATGGTCATTCCATAAAGACAAAAAAAAACTAGATACATTAAGCTTTCTAATTCTCTTTTACAGATTCTTTCTATTACATATACTTACAAAGTTACAATTTCAAATTGCACACAGACTTTGTGTGTACATATGGTAAATCATGTGAATATAAAAGCCAATATCACTTTTCAAGAGAAAGATTAAGATGTAACTCATGAAAATTAAGATTAAGCTTAATTTTGCATTTTAATTTTTTTATTATGCTATAAATTTCCATCGACAACCAAGAATGCAAAATCACATTATGATAGTAACATATTAAATAACATATTTTCCCATCATTCTAAACAAATAATTTTGTCATTATTAAACTATTACAGAACTTATTAAATTTTTAATTTTCTCAGCTGTTAAATTTTCAAACAATTAAACTTTCATGATCACTTAAAAATTCTCTGTATAATATTTGAATTATACTGTTTTATAAATGGAAAACATCATACTCCAACAGATTTCAATAGAAACAAAGCAAATATTAACAATTTAAATATTGATCATTTTCCAACAAAATATGAATATTAATTAATTATAGTCATGAAAAAAAAAAAATTTTTATTAGTAAAGATCATTTTAAGATCAGGATGCTATATGAATAAATAAGTGGTTATTGAATTTAAGATTACTGTCCAAAATAAAAAAAAACAGGTATTCCATTATAAGAAAAAAAACAGATGTTAATATGTAAAAGATTAAGGATGATCTTGAAATGACATTGGCAGTAACCTTGAAACAAATCTTTTAAATCTTTTAAATTTTTGTTGTTGACATTAAATACACATTCTAAAATCATACATACACCTGACACATTTCTTCTTTACTTTCAATAGTAAGTAGAAAATAATTTATATGTTCAACTTAAGTAGGACTCTGGGGATAAATACTCCCATATATGTATTCAACTAATATTTTCGTTTGTTTCAGGTTGTACTGGATACATCAGATAACTATGGCATCAAGTACAATGGTTATTTTGGCAATAATATTGCGTATTACATACTGGCTACTTATTTGTTTTTAATTTAAGTAAAACTTGATTATTTCTGTAAATATTAAAAATATTAAAAAATGTTTCAGATGAAGGTTTGAATAATGCATAGATTTTATGAAATTAAAATTAAAATATCTCTTCTAAACTAATAATTTGTCGATATAAGTAGGAATACATTTTTATAGAAAATAAAAAAGTGTACAAAAAAATATAGTTCCATTTAAAAAAATTAAGTTGACCTTGAAACCTACGAAACATCTGTAGCTACAAACAACCCGATTTCATCAAATTACTTCTTTTTTGAAACATAGCAAGATTTGTCTGAAACATTTTTTTAAATAAAGTAGTTTAGAAAATATTTTCGTTTATAGATTAAAATTGAATACCCAGTATATTATATATTATATATAATATATCGTAATTATATTTATATAATTATATACATTTATATATAATTACTATATATAATTATTTATATATAATATACAGGCTACTCAGTTTTAATCAATATAATATATGATGGTATACAAGTATATTTTTCTACATTTACAAATATATACTCTTATACAACGAAAATACATAAATCAAAGATACATACATAATATACATCGTAATTTTATGTAAAGTAATGTTATGAACTATCATATTATTATTAAATCTTATCAATCTTTGATAATAATCTAATAGTTCATAGTATTATTTATTTTCTCCATAATAATAATTTCTTTATTCTACAAAAGTATTCCCAAGTAAATGTTTGTGCACCATTTTTAAATATATATACATATATATTCAAAGATCTTCCAATTTAGTGAGGACACATACATTCATGTGTGCTAAAATGCTCAATTACATACTAATTTGTACATTAACTCTATTATGATTATGATATGCTTGTATATAATGCGAAACAATAAAATAGTTATAATTATGTAGAGGAAAGTAATAATTTTTATAAGTAGTATTTTGTATATTAAATCTATTCACAAAATATAAATATTTTTCCGTATAGTGATAAAAATGATCTAATTTTGAATTTCACTAATTTTTCCCGTTCCCTACCAAACGTTATTTCAACAATAACTAAAATTCCAATTTATTGAATAATAAACAGCGATAGAAAATAAATAATTTTAAAATAAGTCCGTTTCAAATTAAAACTTCTTCAAAAAATCTTTATTTATTCTAATAATTTTTATAAACTTTATAATTTTTAAACTAATGAACAAAATACATTATATGTTAAATGTTAGATCTATACTTTATTTTGTTTATGGTTATATTGCTTTAATACCAATATCAGTAAGTTTTTACCGATTGAAATTAGCCGGAGATGTAAACAGTGTTATGTGAATTCATATAGTAATTTTAGCAATGTTAATCGCATGTAGAATCTTTATCAATATAATGAGTACATGGAAATTATTACAGCGTCGGTGTTACGACTTACTTTCATATAAATATTCGCTACTGGTGATATTAACAGCGTTTACTTGCATATTTATCGGTATTGTTCATTTTGGTGAGGTTAGTATTATTATTTACTCCATTATTTTTGTATGAAATTTACTTTATTGATTGTTAAAATTATATTATTTTATTACTAAAATTCTATTGCCCATTTCAAATTTTAGTGCAACTTTTGAATTGTTAAATTTTAAATTTTCTAAATTTGAAATTCAAATTTTGAAACTCTAATTAAACACTAACGTTACAGATGTGGATAACTTGGAGTAAAGAGAAGTATGAAGCAGTGTTCCATTCTTTCAATGATAATATATTAGGTATTTCTTTCCAAAAAAAACTGTGCCAACATGTTCCAATAGATGTTGTATATACATGGGTCAATGGCTCAGATCCAGTCTTCGTAAAAAATCTTAAAGAGCACGTTTCTGTTATGGATGTTAACACAGCTACTTCCAGATTTAGTGACAAAGATGAATTAAGGTATTCATTACGTTCGTTGGAAATGTATGCACCTTGGGTGAGACATGTATATATTGTTACAAATGGTCAAATACCAAGTTGGTTAGATATGGATAATCCTAAAGTTACACTTATTACTCATGAAGATATATTTTTAAATAAAAGTGATCTTCCAACATTTTCTAGTCCAGCTATTGAAAGTCATATTCATAGGTAACATCCAACTCAATAATATATATAACAATTAATAGTTATTTATAATCCATCAATTTTTTGTTTTTGCAGAATTCCTGGTATCTCAGATAAATTTTTATATTTTAATGATGATGTAATGTTAGGAGCAGAAGTATGGCCAGAAGATTTTATTACACAAGCAAGTGGTCAAAAAGTATATCTTGCATGGTGGGTTCCTGATTGTTCAGATGTTTGCCCTTGGGCCTGGGTGGGTGATGGGTCATGTGATCCTGCTTGTAATACAACATTATGTGAATTTGATGGTAGCACTCATTGTTTATATTTGTTTTCAAATAACAACTAATAAAAAATTTAATAAGCTGATGATTATATATATATAATTATATATATAACATCTACACTTAAACTTGTATCTTTACTTTGTATTGCAGGAGGAGATTGTGATAGCACACCAGTTCCTACTGATAGTGAAGCTCTCGAGGAAGAAGGAGACTATCCACACAAACTCCTACAAAATCCTTTAGAAGATACTAACTATGGATTAAAATTTTTAAATATATTGAGGAACAAAAGTATAAGTACTATATGGAACGATACAGAATCATTTATTCAACAAACGTCACCAAGTGTGATCACAAACTCAAAGCTACATGTAAATAAATCTCACAATTTCAAAAATAATTACATGAGTTCCATTGAAAGATATTTTAATAAACAACTGAATGAAAATAATCGAACTGTATCTCCTCAGAAATCGATGCTGTCAAAAGTGATGAGTAAGATAAGATATCAAACGTTGAACATTACTGAAAGACGTCTACAACTGAAACGTTATTTAAACGATGATGTTATGAATTTATCTCAAGTTAGTAGTACTATAAATGTTAATCATAAATCAACCCATTCTGATCAATGGAAACTTAGAACAAGACAACTTGATACATACGCTGAATCTTTATTATATGTGAACAGAATATATAATATAGCATATGGTTTCGAACGTAGGAGAGTACCTGCTCATATGCCTCATTTAATAGATAAATGGATCGTTGCTGATATGCAACAAAAATTTGAACATGAATTCAGAAAAACATCCAGCCATAAAGTTAGAAACTCTGAGGATATGCAATATGCTTTCTCTTATTTTTACTTTCTAATGAGTGAAAAACGGAAAATACCCATTGAAAAAATATTTGATACATTTGACACGGATAAATCAGGGTAGTTATACTAGTATAAAATAATAATAGAAAGAGAAAGTCAATAACAGAAGTATTAATTGAAATAGTAATTCTGTGTGGTTTCGTGATTTGTTATTTTCAGCACTTGGTCAGACAGAGAAATTAGGACTCTTCTATCTAGACTTTATCCACTTCCTCTTGATTATAATCTAGTCGTTGAATTTGAGAATGCAATAACGAATTGTTCAAATCATATAAAAGTTAATCAAATATTACATCCACCATCTGGAGAAAGATATTTGGATTCATCTCTTGTAAGTATTTTCTCGTCGATATTAGTAAATAATTGATTGTCAGTTCTAATATTTTAATTGATATTTAATTGTAATAAGTAAATATTTTATTTATATTAATAATTTATATTTTTACAGCCAACAGTAACTAAAGAATTAGTAGCAAAATGCGAATCTATTTCACGAAAAGTTGAAGGCAAATTCGGTGAAGAGAAACACTATCCACACGAAATAATTAAAGCTGGAAAAAATGAAATATTCGAAATGTTAACGAGCAACGTGTCTCTAACAGTACAACTTTTAGACGAGATACGCAGAGATCCAAAGTAAGTCTCATTCTTACATTATTAAGAATTAAAAACAGACAAAATAGAATAATTTTATTAAATTTTAGAAAATTTATTTGTTTAAATGATGATATGGATCCTCTTCGACATTCGGAAAACGAAATAGTTCGGGCATTATTAAATGATTTTTATCGCTCGCTCTATCCATTGCGCAGTACTTTTGAATTGCCTATGCAATATCGAAATCTTTTCACTGATCGACATAAACTCCTTGAGTGGAGAACTAATCGAACAAGAACCAGAAATTTGTTGTTATGTCTTATTTTTTTATTACTTGTTACAACTTTTTATCATTTATTTTATCATCAAGTACGACGATTATTTAGAATACGTACGCTACCCACTTTACTTGTGTAAATTTGAGATACGAATAACAAAAATAGAATGATATATATTGAAACAGGGCAATCTTTTCTAAATGTTTTATGAAAGATAAAACACGTGTATATTTGTAAAGATAATTCTCTTACAAATTTATACTATTTTAGCAGGCAATGCGTATATTTTGTTGCATATTTTACATCTGCAAGTCCATCCACAATTTAGAATTGATATTTAGAAACAAAATATGAATCTCTATATTCATTTAAAAAATTTTTTTAAAAAGTAATATTCGCTACTAAAACGAATATACTTTATAAAATATAATAAGATATGAACAAATATTTAGTATCGTGTTAAAATTAAGTAAAACGTTCCTGTGATATCGAAAAAGTACTAATTGTTTCTCTCTCTCTCTCTCTCTCTCTCTCTCTCTCTCTCTCTCTCTCTCTCTCTCTCTCTCTCTCTCTCTTTCTCTCTCAATAAGATGAAAAGGTAGATCTGATAAATTTTTCTCTAAGATAAGTGTATAATAACGTAATGATATTAATATTTGAAAAATTATACATATAAGATTTTAAAAATATATAACAATTTTGAGGTGTTATTAATTTATAATATTTTAATACATATTTCTAATACACAATACATCTTTCTACTAGAAAATCATCCAGTTGACAATTGTTCAAACGTAAAATGTACCAAATTTGTACTTACTATTGAAATATTAAGCATATTATCATTATAATGAATAAAAGATATCATTGAATATCATTGAATATCTTTTTAATTTCTAATTTTATATTTATTTTATATTTTGAAACCATGTATATAAATATTTATATACATAAACATGAATATTTATCTAAAAAAAAAGTATTTAATGGTATTTTATAAATTATGAAACATATTAATGTTTATTTAGATGCTGAAATTTAAAAACTCTAAATAAACAGTCGCATATTTTAATATATGTGTAACCTATATAATGTGAATGCATGTGTGTGTAAAATTATATAAATGATTTTTATACTATCAGTGTTTAATTTTACAATTGTACAAAGTAAAATTATATTTTGTAAAATAATGTGAAACAAGTGTGAATAAATATTGCTATAATTTATTGGTTATGTAATTTTCTGTTTGTTTATTTTACTACTTGTAACTATTTTTCTTACTTCTATTCTATTTTTACTTGTAACTATTTTTCTTACATTTAATATTAATTGATAAAAAATGAACACATAAAATTTTAAAATTAAGACACAAAAAAAAGACGTCTAAAACTTTTTAAGTAATGCTATTTTTTAATTTTTGTAATTATTCGTATTTGCTACTGTATTGTATGTTTAATAAATTTTTATAAATTAAATATTGCATTACGTATGTATGAAGTTTATATGGCGTTTTGTCAAGACCCTGATATCTCTTGTCTATCTAAAGGAGGACAATTCATATGTCGAAGATTTCGCGGGCCAACCATACCTTCCTGTACTCTTGCGCATTCACTCAACCATATTGCAACACTAGCTACCTCTTCAGCTGATAGACGAGGTCCAATACCTATTATCGAATTATAATAGATATTTTATCGAAATTAATATTGTAACGATCACATAAAGAATTATTTAATAAAAAAAAAAAAATCGAAACATAAAAATTCCAAATAATTTTACAAAAAGTTTCAAGTTTATAAATAATCGCAAACATAACATAAATACGCTTCAACAATTTTACATTTCGATTTATAATATAATTAAAACTTCTCTACTGTCTTACCAGGAACATTCGGATAATACTTGAGTAATTTTGGATCTATAGTCTTCCTTTTCCTGCATCTTTCAACTCTATCTTTCGTACTTTGCATGTTCTGTTTCTCACTAAAACTTTCTCCTGAGGTACTACTACTTCTACTTTTTGCAGATGTATTTTCGCCTTTCAAATTTTGTTCGTCGATAGATCTCGACCTTTTGTTTGATTCGACATCGATAATGGAAATCTCGTTAGATTTCATTTTTGAAGTTTCTTTGTTAGAAAAATTTTGCTTCCCCTCATCTTCAATCATTTTCTTTTGACCAACGTAACTCTCGCTTGATTGCGGCGTCGTATCAGCTGATTCAAAAAATATTTCTCTAAATCATGTGAAAAAAATATGCAGAACGAATAATCGGTAAAAATATGATTTACGTTTCGAAGAATTTGTATCCTTTCTTGATACTAATTCTAAATCTAAATTAATGTCAGCTTCCGTGTCTTGACTCGTATCTTGACTCGTAACTGAACGATCTATAAAAAATTGTTCTGGATTTAATTCCTGATGTCCCGAATATTCAGAATCGCACATAATAAATTCTGTTGGATCCTCATCGCTAGAATTTCTTTCACTTCCGTCACAACAAAGTCCGGCTAGATATCTGAAAAAATATATTAATTAATGTTCAATAAAATATTAAACAATCCTCAAACATTATAGAACTTTCTGCATTATTTTGATACTAAAAATACTATAGATTTTAAGATCTAAAAACGTATAGCATGTATAAACAAGTATGTAATTTATATGGGAATTTCTATGAAATTCTTATGAAAATCACATCCTTATTTATATTTATCATTTTCTTTAACATCTTACATATGTACAGTCTATTCTCTTTAAATCAGGTTTTTTTAATATTATCAGAATTGATAATATCAATCAGGTTATCTATTATTAGCTAATATTAAATCAGGTTATCTATTATTATCTAATATTAAATCAGATTTTTTTACATTTGAATATACTATATATTATACCCATATATCTCCAGGAAGAATGTGACTGGTACCATAGCAGATCCACCTTCAGGTTCATGAGTGAACAACTCACAAATCATAATCATTGTTTCACAAAGGCTGGAACCTAAAAGTCCAACAGCAATGGCTAGGAATTTTTTCACTTGGCATTTTCGTCGAAATTTCCCGATCATCAAAATTAAATTTAGATCCCGACGATCCAAGCACAAACAATCCCATCGCCTTAGAATCGTTTCCACAGATAAAGATTTATTATAATCTATTTGGAAAAAGATTATCTTTCAGTTTCAGCAAAAGGAAGATGCAGTAGAGCCACTCTTATTTAAACATCTATTTTTCGAATATCCAAACATTAAAATAGAATATCTGTTAGTAATTAGTAATTACAGTTGTTCAATTCGTTCTAAAGTATCGTACAGATAATTTGATAATCAATAATAAAATAATTGATTTATTTATTAGAGGTTCAAAGTGGATAACATATTACAATATATTGAATAAATATGTCAAAAGATATATATTCAAAGACGAATGTAATCTTAATTTGTTACATATATTTTAAACAATAAAACACTCAAACAGATATTTTATTTCGATGATACAACTATTCTTCAAATGTTCGATTATTTGACCCCGAGTATTTACCTTTTTACATCCTTTGATAGAGGAATACATACATACTAAATATCAGTAATTATATATTAATAATTAATATATATAATATAGGACACGGATTAAAACGAATCAATATCTTATGTTTAGATACTAAACATAAAACTAACTATTAATAAAAAAAAAATTCATATAACTCTTAATATAATTATTATTAATTATTTAATACCTCCGAATTGTCGAAGTAAAATTCTTAAGAAACCGAGAGTCAAACCGGAAGCGGTGTTCGGTGGTGGATACTCCAATCTTAACTTCGTCGGTGGTTCTTCTCCATCGGCTAACGCTTGAAAATACGAAGTGGACCATCGAAGTAGATCGTACGGTTGCGTTCGAATAGCCGCCTTACAAAATTCCTTTAAAATTAACGGCAAACTCGGTGGCACGATAACTTCACGATCTGAAACTGATTGTTTTGCAACGGCCATATTTCTCAAATTTTCAAGCTTCAATAAATTACGCGTGTGTTAAGAACGAAACTTTCGAAGAAGAAAATAGTGGAATACTTTAAGAGAGTATATTGGAATGATATGAAGTGAAACTACGATTAACTTGAATATCGCAGTCAAGTATATCGTTTGTTGCCATTTCGCGGAGTTTCGTCGTCTAGGAAACAACATCAATGAAAAGTGATCAATTTCTGGTATTATTAAGAATAGTGTTCTTTATCCTCAATTGTATTCAATCATAGGCGAGGTATATGTATACATACATAAATAGACCTACATGCAATGCATTTTTCTGTCGCATGTCCTAAGATCGCATTACCATTTTCATGTCATATCCTACTGTACCGATTGTAGACACCTACCTCGTCTGTAGTTTTACACAGCAGCGTTACTAGTGATAGGAATTAAAATCGAAATATATGGAGTATCTGTAATTATCTATTGTATCGACGCTTCGTCAATAAAAGAATATAATGATTTGGAACAACAGTTGATGGAAATTCGGAGTTTATTATATATTTAATTATTTATACCTATTTAAAAATAATTAAATATAAAAATTAATTGAAATATAATATTTTTATTATTATAATATCAATATTAAAAAGCATTCTTAATATTTAAACAAAAGTTTATGAAAAAAATCTCAAATAATATTTTAATTACGCTGCAGTAGAAACTGAAAGCGTTATTTTTTAATTAATAAATAATTTAATTAATAAATTTATGTCATTTGTTATATTCAATTGCCAACATTCTTTGGCATATTTATTACTTGATCAATTTTAATCGTTTAACTCGATGTAGCTTTCCGAGTCATCGTGCTTCAAACATAGAGTGCGTTAAAAATCTAGTAATTTCTTTCCATGTCGGTATTTCAAAACATATAACATGAAGTTCTATAAGATGCCAAATCTATTTTATATTTTATTTATGTTCATAAGATGCAAGGTCTATCTATGTATGTATATACTGTGACTGTACTTATGTGTTATGAAAAGCCGATCGGTAAAGAAGTTCAATAAATTGAATAATAGACTAATACCACAGACCAAGGGCACATGAATATATGTACCTTATCTGTACTAATATGATCTCAATACATGCGTATAAGTAAAATGTAAAAATAATTAGTAATAATTAACAAAAAACAAAATAACATAATTAACAAAAATACAAAATGTAAAAATAATTAATAATAATTAACTTTCGCTTGGCAAATGTTGAGTCCATTCGGACACATTTAAATAAACAATCAATAGTCATATATTTTGTTGATTAATAAATAGAATAATACTATATAGTAATAATATTAATAATACTAATAATGATACTAATAGAAAAAAAATCGTTAATAAAAAATATTTGATCAGAAAATCCATCTTCAATAACATAAATTATCGTATCTTTTTACTCAATAATTATCATTGTCTCAATTAAGAAACAAACTACAATTTTTTATTTAAGAATTTTTATAAAATTATTAACTACGAATGTATTAATTATTACTTTTTTAAAGATAATGTAAAAGATAGTATTTCGAATACTTTGAAATAATATTTTTTATCTAGTAACAAAATCAATCGCAAGAATAATTCCTTGAAAATAAATTCAAATATTCCCTCGAATAACGTGACTTATTGTTTGTAGATGGATACTTACAGATGGCGTCATTTTCATGATTTTGGAGGGACAATGCAATTCAATATGGCGGCGATTGATGTTATGCGTTCGTGTACGTCACAGTAAAGACCGGCTCTAACAATATAAATAATCGTAGTTAAATCAGGCACGTATTTGCATACTTGTTAAATTAATCGAAATCAACTTATATATACAAAAAGGTACGTTTGAGGAAAAATCCAAAATGTCAAAGCCAGATGAAAACGCAGATACAGGGGATACGGGAGACAATTCGAATGGATCTTCGGCTGAGACCACGTCGTCTCGAGGTGGTGATTTTGAAACAAAACTCGAGACTGATCGTAGTAAACGATTCGATTATTTACTAAAACAGACTGAAATATTTTCACACTTCATGACAAATAACCAGAAAGATAAAGCTGGAAGTCCCTTAAAAATTAAAGCTGGTAGGCCTAGGAAGCAGCCTATAGAAAATCAAGTAAAAACCGATTCTGGTGACCACAGGCATCGTAAGACAGAACAAGAAGAAGATGAGGAATTGTTGGCTGAAAGTAATGCCAGTGTCGCACCAACTACTCGTTTCGAATCTTCTCCACATTACATCAAGTCTGGTGAGTTAAGAGATTATCAAATACGAGGTTTAAATTGGATGATATCGTTATATGAGCACGGTATTAACGGTATCCTGGCTGATGAGATGGGTCTTGGTAAGACACTGCAGACTATTTCATTGTTGGGATATATGAAACACTTCAGAAACATTCCTGGTCCACATATAGTCATCGTTCCCAAGTCTACATTGGCTAACTGGATGAACGAGTTCAAAAAATGGTGTCCAACTTTGAGGGCAGTTTGCCTTATAGGAGATGCAGAGACTAGAAATACTTTCATCAGAGAGGTTATGATGCCTGGCGAATGGGATGTCTGCGTAACATCTTACGAGATGGTTATAAAGGAAAAATCTGTATTTAAGAAGTTTAATTGGCGCTACATGGTAATTGACGAGGCTCATAGAATAAAGAACGAAAAGTCTAAGCTATCCGAGATTTTGAGAGAGTTTAAAACGGCTAATCGTCTCTTGTTGACAGGAACACCATTACAGAATAATCTTCATGAACTGTGGTCCTTGCTCAACTTTTTATTACCAGATGTATTTAATAGTTCAGATGATTTTGACTCTTGGTTTAATACTAATAGTTTCCTAGGTGATAATTCATTAGTTGAAAGATTACATGCTGTTCTTAGACCATTCCTTTTGAGGCGTTTGAAATCCGAAGTAGAAAAAGGACTAAAGCCTAAAAAAGAAATCAAGGTGTACATTGGACTCAGTAAAATGCAAAGAGAATGGTATACCAAGGTACTTATGAAAGATATAGATATAGTTAATGGTGCTGGCAAAATTGAAAAAATGAGATTGCAAAATATTTTGATGCAACTGCGCAAATGTTGTAATCATCCATATTTGTTTGACGGCGCAGAACCTGGACCACCTTACACAACCGATGAACATCTTGTTTATAATTGTGGAAAAATGGTAATCTTAGACAAATTATTACCAAAATTACAGCAACAGGAATCACGTGTCCTTATATTTAGTCAAATGACCAGGATGTTGGATATTTTAGAAGATTATTGCCATTGGAGAGGTTTTCAATATTGTCGTTTAGATGGAAACACTGCGCACGAAGATAGACAGCGTCAGATCAATGAATACAATGCACCGGGAAGCGAAAAATTTATTTTCATGTTGTCAACTCGTGCTGGTGGCTTAGGTATTAATTTAGCAACGGCAGACGTAGTCATTATTTATGATTCTGATTGGAATCCGCAAATGGATTTGCAGGCGATGGACCGAGCCCATCGTATAGGTCAACAAAAACAAGTTCGTGTATTCAGGTTTATCACGGAGAACACCGTAGAGGAAAAAATCGTAGAACGTGCTGAAGTTAAATTGCGCTTAGATAAATTAGTTATACAACAGGGGCGATTAGTGGACGCAAAACAAACTGCATTGAACAAAGACGAAATGTTGAATATGATCAGGCATGGTGCAAATGAGGTATTTGCGTCGAAAGATAGCGCCATTACGGACGAGGATATAGATACTATTCTTCAGAAAGGTGAAGCCAAAACTGAAGAGATGAAACAAAAATTAGAAAGTTTAGGTGAATCTTCTCTGCGGAATTTTACTGTAGACGCACCCACGGATTCCGTTTATCAATTCGAAGGTGAGGATTACCGCGAAAAGCAGAAAATTCTTGGAATAGGAAACTGGATAGAGCCACCAAAACGTGAGCGCAAAGCCAATTACGCTGTCGATGCTTACTTCAGAGAAGCTCTTAGAGTATCAGAGCCAAAAGCTCCAAAAGCACCTAGACCTCCTAAACAACCGATAGTTCAAGACTTTCAGTTCTTCCCACCACGATTATTCGAATTACTTGACCAAGAGATATACTATTTCCGACAAACAGTAGGTTACAAAGTTCCAAAAAATCCAGAACTTGGATCAGACGCCGCTAGAATTCAAAAGGAAGAACAACGTAAAATAGATGAAGCTCAACCATTGACCGACGAAGAGGTTGCAGAAAAAGAGAAACTGCTTACTCAAGGATTCACGAATTGGACGAAAAGAGATTTTAATCAATTCATAAAAGCTAATGAAAAATATGGCCGAGATGATATTGAAAATATAGCCAAGGAAGTTGAGGGAAAAACTCCTGAAGAAGTGATGGAGTACTCGGCTGTTTTCTGGGAACGATGCCATGAATTACAAGACATAGACAGGGTAATGGCTCAAATCGAACGAGGAGAAGCAAAGATACAGAGACGTGCAGGAATTAAAAAAGCCTTGGATGCAAAAATGGCGAGGTATCGTGCTCCTTTTCATCAGTTGAGGATAGCATACGGAACGAACAAGGGTAAAAATTACACGGAAGAGGAAGATCGATTCCTTGTGTGTATGTTGCATAAACTTGGCTTTGACAAGGAAAATGTATACGAGGAGCTTCGTGCTACCGTCAGATCGGCACCACAATTTCGTTTTGACTGGTTCGTGAAGTCTCGTACAGCTTTGGAACTTCAACGACGATGCAATACGTTGATCACGCTGATTGAACGTGAAAATCAAGAGTTGGAGGAGCGAGAGAGACAAGAGAGAAGGAAGAAGGGCGGCAGTATTGGGGCAAAACCCGCATCCAAACGAAAGCAAGAGAATCTACCAGCACCGCAAGACAAACCACGAAAAAAGAAGAAATAAAAAACCTAAACGAAGATACGTTTTCAATTGTCATTTCGAAAAACATGAATTTAATCATGATATAATAATCTTTCTATCGTTCATTCTTCAAACATTGAAACGATTTGTCATCGCTCAAATTCATAGGGATCTGTAAATTTTTTTCCAGCTTACCCATTTCTTTTTTTTTTTTTTTTTTTTCATTCCTCGCGATATCCACATTTCAATATGATTATGTTTGATTCATTTTTTTCTTTCCATGATAATCGATAAACCTTAGGAATTAATGAGCCACAAAGAGAAACCGTTTGAACTTCACATAGAATTTCTGACTTTTTTTTTTTTTATATGTACAATAATTTTTGAAATTAATGAAATTTGAAGAAATTGAAGTATTTATGAAGTATTATAATAAGCTATTTTCTAATTCATAAATTATAAAACATGTATGTCCAAGTAAACTTTGTATAAAAATATGCATAAAATTTTAAAAATAATAATCCGCATTTTTAAATCAATTATTTTTTAATTTTATTCGTCAACAACTATCATAGATTATGAAAACAAAAGTCATGAAATTTCATGTATTCCAAAACAAAGTTCACTCGAGAAATATATTTATTAATATTAATAACAACATATAAACGGATTTAAGCGATATTCAAATATGGTTTCGCACGTAACCTTAAAAACGTAGCTTTTTATATTTATATATATATATATATATATATCGGATTTCAATTCGTCGCATTACAGGTATCAAAGTCATGCTTGCCTCTGATATTGATAAAGTTAAAGGAAAGTGAAACTTTATATATACATATTATAATTGTCATGGAAGAGTTATAATCACCACTATGTATGTATTACACACAAACCACATACGTACCTTGATTTAATTTCACACGAATAATTGTAATGCAATATTAATAAACGATTTTATTTATTTGCTACAATTTTAAAAAGCACTGTATTTTGTTTTACGAATAAAATATGATATGTCGTATCATATGAAGCTCTAACATGTTTGAACGTTGATTATTAATTACCTTGTACGAAATTTAGATAACCAATCAATATAGCAGATTAAAATATAAAGATATTGAATACAGAGAATGTACTATGAATGAATCTACTTGCGTGCTTTTGTTATACAGTTATATTTATATTTATATTTATTGAATCTCAGACTCTTAGCAGGAACAAGGAAAAAGTATAAGTTAAATTGGTTTCTAAATCGAGCTTTAGCACGTAATTATTAATATTATAATATTGTAATTATACGTACATATATATATATTAATAACGAACATATTATTCGTATAGTTTAACAAGATAAATTACAAATGATTTGTTGGACAATTATTAATTTCAAAGAATTTCATTCTCTTCGTGCAAAAATTTGAAAAGGATATTTGTAAAATACTTAAGAAGTAATTTTCTATGTTTCAATATTCATTGATTTAGTCAATACGATTTACAAGAGGAAGCATAGTTATTTTTAAATGCATCAGAAAGTCGAATCAATAAAATATAAATTTTACAACAAAAAATTGTTTGTTTATACATAGAATCATTATTCTATTAATTGTGATATTTGTGTATTTGATAACATCTTACTGGAAATTATTGATTTTACACGATTACAATAAAGAAGCTAGTGAAAGAAAAATAAAAAGGGGTTATCAAATATGATAATGATATTGTAATTTTAGGAATATTTTAGTATATAGAATAGTTATATATTTTTTATATACTAAAACTAATAATTACGTTCTACGCTATAATGATCCATTATTAAAGAAGTATCATCAATTGCTTATATCGCAAATTTATGAAAACATTATAATAAGCATTTTTTAATAAATAAAACATCGTAAAAGTTCATAAAAGGAAATTCTTATTGCTGCATTCTATGTTGATATTGTCAGAAACTTTGAATAAATTTAAATTACAAAATCAAATAGGTCTGTTAATTGAATTTTTTTCTTTTTTGATTGTTGAATCATTATTTAAAGCTTCATATCAAGCTATATCAATGTCGTCACAGAATATAACTAATTCTAATCACAAATCCCAAAGCAAGAAAGAAATATTTTCTTTTTTTTTAAGTCATATAATAAAATTTTTGTTTAACTAAATAATTTATAAAAGTAAATAAAGCAATTAAAAAAACAATCATCTCTTTTTGTTATTTGATATATGTGCTTGAATAGACAAGGCAAAGGGCATTCTAAAGATTTTTTTTTCATTATTGTCTTTTAATTTTGCAACAATGAAGAATATTTTGTTTGAGTAACAATGCAACTAATAATTTTTATTATCCTGTTTTTTTTTAAATAAATATCAATAAAATGCTTCTAAAACAAGATTGCAGAATAATAATGATAAACAATCAATAATTAAATAATGATTATTTATAAATAAAAAAAATTGTATATAAAGATATGTTATAAATCGTAATTTTTATATATGTTTGTAACACATTCATATTATCAAATTACACGTAATCTAATAACCAAATTACATCTAATATTGATAATTAAAAATTCATATGGTACATTGAAGGGAATATAGCAAAATTCACATGAAACTGAAGTGCCCCACTTTATGGTAATTGCTTATCCTATTCTTTTTATTTATTTATTTTTTTTCACTTTTCTTTCTTTCTTTTTTTTAATGTTTTTTTTCTATTTTTAGGATTTTCTTAAATATATCGCTAACTTATTCTATTACATATACTTTCGAAAATCTTACGGCAACATCAGTATGTCTGAGATTAATCGGCAGTTGAGTACATTTAGTTTGCAGTTAATATAATATATTCATCATTGGGTAGTTACAATTATTGGAAACAATGACTCTTCTGTAGTATCATAAATCGTCTATGGCAAGGACCGGCCTAACTGTAAATGTATTTCAATGTGCTACTTATCTTATGTATCTCCTTTTCTTTTTTCTTTCATTAAAATTATTAAATAATTAGAATGAAAATTTCATAAACATATACCTTAATAGAAAAGACTCACATTTAATAGAATGAATTAATAAATTTTTTAAATTAATAGTAATTAAAATTCAATGACTAATAGTGCATCAATGGGGCCAACTAAAATATGAAAATATAAATTTATATTTCTGATCTATTGCACTTTTTCTGTGTCAGACAGTAATCAGCAATAATGATGTAATGTCAAAATTTGATGTCCCTATGAATTTATTGTTAAACTTCGCTCTGTAATATATATATTATTGGAAGTGTACATTATTCGACTTTATTAATATTTTAAAAGTTAGATGATTATATCTGTCTACATTTTAAAGTTTGCAATAATAGCAATAACAATAGTAATACTGGTAAATTATATGGCGCGGTAAGCATTTTTTTCATCCCGCTTATATATCTATTACATGTATATGTATATAATATTTGTGTTGCACGTGTGTATGTGTGTGTGTGTGTGTTTATTTTTTTATTTCTAATACGTACACTACAATTCATTATCCGAAATCTACAAATTGATAATTTTCTTGCGATACCAAAAGATTCAGTATGCACACAGTATTTACTTGCACGATAGTTTTTCTTTTTACAATTAATATGATATTAAACTTTTGGTAAATTTCGATTATATTTATAGACAATAATTATAACTATGCATGCTTAGAATAATTATTTATTTGAAATTTTTCGATTTTTTTTTTCGAATAAATGTGCACATAAAAATTCCTAAACGTTTTTTTTGTTATATATCATTTTATTTTTAATGCTATTGCAAAGAATCGAATTCTTTGCAAAGATATTATATCACTTATTTTATCGTTTTTACGTACTTCTTCATCACATCTGAAAGAGAGAAAAAGACAAACAGAAAGCGAAAGATAGAGTGAGACATTTTTCACTCAATTTCAGTTTATAAACAATCAGTTGAATTAATTTTACTATTATAATCTTACTATTAATATTATAAAATATATTAGGTATCCAAAAAAGTTCTTGCTGTTTTTCCATACGAAAAATTACAGAAACATATTCTTATTTTAAAATGAATTTATTTATCAAAATATGAACCTTCACATTTTATTAAAATGCCATTTTTATAAAAATTTTTTATTTTATCGTGAAAAATCTTGATACTTTCTCTTTCAGATTATTTTCATTATTAAACTACTTATTCCTCATATGGTTATTCAAATTCAGAAATGAAAATCTGCTAATGAGAGATTCGACAAATGTGATGGTTGGAACATAATCTTTCATCCACTATCCTGACTTATCACAATAAAATAGTTAATAGTAATAACAATAATTTTTTCCACTTCTAAAAATTTGTCAATTTCTAAAATTATGATCAACAAAAATTGGAAAGAATTTTTCTGGGTACCTAATACAATTCTAATCTATTTGAAAAAATATCAGCACGTCATAGACTTAATTATAATCGTTAATTTAACAATCGTTGGATATTCATTGAAAAACATGAGACACACGACATGTTTAATAAATAAAATGTGCATATTATTTTAATAGTAAAGGTGTGTATGCATGTGTGAAAATGCAAAATTATCGACATTATATTGCAGAAATTGAATTTTAAGTTTAATAAACGAACTTATAGTGGTCATTTGTTCATAAATAAAATTCTTAAATTATAGCGTTGATCTTAAAGTCTAAAAAACTGTCAGAAACAATAAAATATTACAAAATTGCTTTCTGCAATTACATTTTAATTAACCTGTAAGTTCGTTGACATAAAAAAGCTTCTCTAAACTAAAAATGATAAATTTACTTTGTCATCATTCTACACTTGATAGAGTGTAGAAAGTTTCAAACGTAAGTTGATTATACGTTAACAGGTACTTAAACTGCGACATAATAATAATAATAATAATGATTCTTTATATTAGCAATGTACCGTTAGGAAGAAATTTTCGTCGTTCCATACCACGAACGGCACGCCATATGTGAACGGCATGCATATATGTGATTTGTTAAAATGCAACAAATCTCTTGCATAAAATCACAATATGAGTAATATCACGCACAAAAAGATTAAAAAAAATTCTACAATCCATAAAAGTCACCGTAAATAAGACAAATACAATTGAAAAAAAAAAAAAAAATAAAAAGTATGCTTGCAAGTATGTAGAAATTCAACACCCTGTCCGCATTTCTTATAAGCAAGACAAGAGAATCTAAGTGAAAGCTTTAATTTGAAATCAGATGCCTCCAAGGGGGTGGATCGGGGGGTGGAGGCAAAGGGGCTGGTTACGGTCGGCAATGACCTCTTTTCCTTCCACCTTCATTGCCATCCTCCTCTTCGCCGCCCCTTCTTACTTCAGTGTATCGTTCTCCCTTCACACTCACAATCTTGTTGTCTAAATAGCGTACTAATTTTTTTGGTTCCGTTTTCGGTGCGACTGGACGATGCTCGCGTGAATCGTCATCCCTGTCGACATAACTATACCGCGCTATAATACGTGATTTCAATTCCTCGTCATTCACTCTAGCCTTGTTACGACCGTTTGGCTGTAGAAGATAATTACATGGTTTTCTTTTTTTCGTTTAATTTAAAATTGATTTGCTACTGTGAACACGTGCGTGGATGTACAAACTAAGATTTTAGATTAAAATTCAGGTATCATACAAAAGAATAAAATTTACGTTAAAGTAAAATTCTTTAAAAGATGAAAAAATAAATACTTACTGTTAGAAAAGTAAGGTTACTAACGATACTCTGTCCTGCTTCTTGTCTATGAAGCGCAAGTTGTGCCGCCTTTGCTATATCACCGCCAGCAACTGCCAAACAATGTCTGGCTTCTGCTGGACTTGCAGCTGGGAACATTTCTTGCAAAAGTGCTACTTGATGCCAAGATGATTCCTAACAAGTAAAATATTTATAATAATTATCGTAATAGAAAGTAAAATAAAAGTTAGAAAGTAAAAGAAATTTACTTCCGAAAAATATTCTCCACTAGAATCACTTCCAGCATCGCTAGTTTCTGAGAGATGGTGAACTCTCATTCTTTGTGTACCAGGAGGTAATAAAGCTGTTAAACTAATATGACTCAAGGGATCTTGAGGTTGACAATTTTCATTCTCTTTACTTTCTTGCCGTAATTTACTTTCAATATCCAACAGCCATTTGGATACTGCTTCTTTCTCAATGGTAGAAAACTCAGGAAGACAAGCAGAAACCATTTCACATAGTCCATCAACATCCAGATCTTCCTCAAGTGCACTTTCTTCTACCATACTCACTACATAACTCAGGACAATGTCATCTATCAAACTAAAAGAAATTGGGAAAACATATTAAACACACATAGCACATGTACGCATTTGTTAAATTGTAAATGAAGAAAATTCATTACTTTTCTCTTTTTTTTTCTTTACCTTAATTGGGCACTGGGTACCTCTTTTCTTACAAAACTAAATAAAGATTTTTTAACCAATTCTTCCTTTTCATCCATTGTACGACTCATCCTAAAATAATTATAATAATAAATTTTATCGCTGAAAGATTTCTATACATATAATTTGACAGGCTTTGCGTTTAATTTATATTCTTCAATTCATTAACAAAAATTATCATTAGTTTTCTTTACTAGAAAAAACAATATTTTCACCTAATAATTTCTCTGAAATAATTTAACAAATTTCAAAAATACAATATCATGACATTATTATTAATAAACATCACATTAAAGTACAAAAATTTTATTACAGAAGATTTATATTATAAAGAAATATACACTTTAAAAATATGCGTCTTTTGTTATGAAATTTTGTTATGAAAAATTTATGATAGAAAATAATTATAACAAGACAAGTAATAATTTTAAATTGCACGAACTTTATAAGTCAAGTTCCATTTATTACGCAATAAATTAATCATGCAGATTTAATTTTAACATTGAGTTTTATTCGTAGGGAAATTCCAATTTTTTAGTAGATAATAGTAGGTAAATGATTAACTATCCAGTTAGGTTAAGAGAAATAAGGCGAACCCAATTATACGTAGGTCAAAATGAAACAGCATTTGATTAACGTATTTTCATGAATGCGCCTTTATCTCGTGAAAAACGGAAAGAAAATCATTTCGCGTCATGTGTCGAAAATTAAAAAATGAATGGGTATTATGAAGAAAAATGCAAAAATGACGTGAACAAATTGACAGAAAGGTGGTAGCAGCGCCGGTCACATCGAGCTCCTAACATTTTCATTCATCTACGATGATCGAATGGTTTCGTAAAATAACATTGATATGTTTCATCGTGAAAATAGGCAAGAGTACAAACCTGATTTTATTACTTGTCTTAACTTTTCGGATCGTACTTCAGGCTGAAAACTGATAAAAATTTCGTATACAAACAATGTTCCTCGATTTGACAGTTTGGTAAGAGGAGGGGTAAAGATAACGTGGCGCCATCACAGTTCGCGACCCACTTCAGGATCAAATCAGCAATCTCAGTGTTGTAATTTTAATTTTTATATTGAAATATTGAAACAACTCGAAATGCAATTACTCCATGAAATAAAATAATTTTATATTCGAAATATTTTTTTGACGGACAGAAAAATATCAAAACATCATTAATCATATAGGATTAGTATAAATACAGAAATTTGATTTACATCGCTAATATCGATATCGCAACCCCCGAAACTTATTTGTATAAATATTTGTATATAATTGAAATCGTTTTATAAATAAGATATGATGAATTATTTTGTAGATCTAATTATTCAAATACTTTTATTTCATTATAAATAGCTTAAATTTCAAATGTTGTTTTAATAAAATGAAAGCTTAGGAGTTGTATTCTTTATTAATTAGAATTATTGAATTGAATTGAAATGCTTATAGTTATATATATATATAAATTTGTAACAATTAATTAATTAATTAATTTATACAGTCCCTGAAATTATAAAATATAATCGCTTAGAAGATGGTTCTAAAATAAATTAAAAGGAAAAAATAATTTTTTTCTTTCACTTTCTTTCTCGAGACTACGTTTCGAAAAAAGTCATATCCCAAAAATTTGGCTAATGCCAAGCTGTACAAGCATAAATAATCGACAAAAGTTACTCTACATATATACGAACATAACTAAGAAGCATAGAATAAAATTTTTTCATAAAACCTTTTTTGCCTTTTCTGAGAAAATTAAATTAAAAAATTTATTAAAATTTAATAAAAATTTATTAAAAGTATTAAATAATTTCTAAAAGTATTAAAACCAATTTTTAACTAAATATGTTCTTGAAAACGAAACTTTAAACTGTAGATCATTAACATGGCCAATTCGGAATTTGTCTAATTCAAGAATATTTGAAAGATTTTAAAACTCAATTTTCTCTTTTACTCAAAACGGAGTTTTAAAAAATATGATTCTTTCTTCGATTTATTTTTATATGTATAATTATATTCTGGTCAGTTCTACTATGATTTCAGAGATGCTACATATTTATGTTGGAAATAAATAACATTTTCGATAATGAAATGTAAATAAAACATTTTAATATTCAAATTATGTGCTAATATAAAGATAGTAAAGAACTTGTGTAGAATTACATCTGCATAAATATGTAATTACGATGCATAATAATTCGAATTATTTAGTATGATAATTTTAAATTTTTTCAAATAATCAATCAGATATTTTCCAAACCTTAATTATAACTGTTTTATTTCACGAAAAAATATTGGGAATTTATTATGAAAGGATAAAAAGTGCTAGCACATCGTTTAGAAAAGATATATTTTATAGAAATTTTGCTATCATTATAGCAATTTATTTATAAGACATAATTTCACATGTTATACATATACATTCCAATTATACATAGATCTTTACAATAAACATAATTTTGTCGCTAACTTTTGTCGATTTAATATATACCATATACGTAGAATGTTACTTTTACATAACGCTTACATACAGGTATAATGCTAAAAACATAAATAATTCTTTTTGAAGTAATCTTTAAGAACATTTAAAAAAAGGTACAAATAAAGATAAAATTGAATTATGATATTGAATTAATTTATTAATTTTGCAATAATAATGAGGAATTTTTTATGATTAACATATGAATTGAATATTTAATTTTTATCAATTTATTAGTAAAATCAGATATCTTATTTCATATAATGTCTATGTTTAAAAAGATATCATTAAAATGAACAAATTCCATATACAAATAATAAAAAATAAATGTAAATGGTCATGAAATTAACAGGTACAACTTTCTTCTTAAGAAGTAACATTTCTCATGCTGTAAACATACTTGTAATTAAAATAAAAATATGTAATCTTCTAATTTTCACTAATGACAGAAAGTACATAATTTCAATTTTAATAATCGATCAATTTGTATTATATTATCAAAATCATTTTGACAATATAATTAAAATTATAATACAAAAGTACATAATACTTTTATATTATAATTTTATAAATCGTAATCAATTTTATAAATCGTAATCGTAAATCAATTTCAATAATTAAATCATCTATTTGTTAGAAACAAAATTAATTTTTTACAAATAAATTAAAATTATAATTACGTGAAGACGTAAAGTCATATATCTTGTTAAAATTTCTAAAAATCATGCAAGAAAACTGGTTATAGATATTTTTATAAATATATATAATCAATTAATAATTTTAAATTATAATTTCTGACACAGTTATTTGTCAGTTTCGAACAATGAGCTTGAAAATATTTGAAAGATATTCGTAGTCACTACGATTCATACAGTAAGTGTTAAAAATAGTTTTACTTTTTATCGTTTACGTTCTATTTACAATGTCGATGAAATATTTGTCATATTACTCTGAGAACAAACGGTAGAATCTCTCTCTTTCTCTCTTTATATATACTATATATATATATAACTTCATTCTGCGCTTTGACTGATCAAACACAAATAAAATTAAAATTGCATACTATGTGTATAACGATTTTTTACAACGATAGATTGTAAAGAATCATAAAATCATAAAATACAATTACAAATATATATATACTTTCTTGTATCAATTTCGAAAAAAAAAGGAAACCATCGAAATTGATACTCGATAAATAAAGTGTTATGACGATACTGGATAACTCCAAGAATTTATCAAAAGCCTAAACTCTAATTCCATTTTCATCAAACAAACCAAATACTGAATTCGGAACATCTCACTAAACCGATTTCTTTTCTTTTGAATATTGTTCCTTTTCGACTCTGTCTCCTTCACCAATCTCAAATTCAACAAAACTATAATCCTCTCTAGATTCTTCTTTGCAATCTTTGTTCGAGCTTGTTTCCGTTTCTTCGACTATGTCTTGTTCCTGTTCTAAAAAGTCCGTAGGTACAAATTCCATTTGATCTTCGTTTATATCAGGTGGCTCGGGCATCTCGCAGAAATGAATTTCTCTTTCGCCATCAGTTGTTTCATTACCACCTGGATCATCCTCCTCGTGTAAACTCATAAGTTTGTCGAAGTTTGACGGAGTTGAACTGTCTTCATTATTCTCAGGAAACATTTCCGTAGGACTGAGAGGAATATCTAGGGGTTCCATTTTAACCGTAGTAGTTGGCGATGTAGGTGTGACAGGTCGTTGTAAGCGTATCTTTGTAAAGGGTTTTGGCTCAATCGATTCCGAGTGTTGTCGTTTTTGCGCACGTTTAGGACTAGAAGGTATAGAAACTCCGGAAGTGGAAGGTTTCTCTTTGGTTTCTGAAGCAGTTCGAGGAACTGGTGGAGATACTATTGGCTTCGATTGCGGAATAAGCAGAGGTGGCTTTGGATTCTATAAAAAAAAAAATATGTTGTGTAAAAAATTACATCGGTAGAAATTCTAGCTTCATTAGAAAAAAAAAAAAAAAATCATTCACCTGTGAAGAAGGATTTGGTCCAGCTAATCCTTTTACTTGTAACGCTTCAGCTGCGTTCAACAATTGTGGTAGTTTATCATGGGCAACATTTACTTCTCCGCGATACATAAACTTGACTAGTGCTTCAACCTCCCAAAATTTAAGATCCTTCATTAAAATAATTGGATGCTGACACGGATTCTCGCGCAATAAATCCGCGAGATAATCACTGCAAGCTGACAATATCATTTTGTGACACTTTAACGAACGACCTTCGCAGGCCAAGGTAACATCAACGAACTGTTCAGAATCCAACAAAGATGGAAAACTGTTTTGCATGTTACTATGATAACTGTTCCATCTTAAACAAACCTGAAAGATGTAGAAAAATATAAAAAAATATTAAATTATTGCTACAGAAACTTAAAGTTATATTTTTTCCAATGTAATTTACAAGGATCATTACTTCTGTAGGCTGTTGTTGAACAGTATTATGAGGTACTCCTTGACTGGTCTGTCGAGGTGGCATTTTAATAGTAGTAGGTGCAACTTGCTTTACCTTTAAAGGTATCGTTTTTAACACAAGAGTCTTTGGTTGTCGTTGCTGCTGTTGCTGCTGTTGCTGCGATATAGGTGCTGGTGCAATGTTTCTAATATGAGATCTTACCAAGGATTGTGCTGCTATTCTTATAGTCTTGCTAGTTGAATTTGTTTGAGAAGGTGATTGTAATACTGTAAAAAACAATGACCATTACTTTTATATTACAAGTATAACTGTCGTATCTGAAAAAGATACAGATACTTCATGTGCATTTATAATCATTAAAATGATTCTCCAGAAGATATCAGTATGATATCTTAAGAATGCATACATTCAACAAAGTATTTGGTATTGAAGCAATAAAGAGCTCTTTGATTATAGATCTCAATATTATTTATACATAAGATCCACGTCTCAAATCTTATCTAACACAAATTCATACATACTATAACAGTATTCATTAACATTTTTAATACAATTATCAACTCACACAGTATCACTCTCCTAATACAGAAGTATTAGTAATGACTGAATCGTTCAGAAACCACACTGATCAATTTCATATATTGAAATGTAAACACGAGTGTTGGTTATAGGTATTATTTTTAGAAATTTAAGATTATTTATATCATTTCCTTGTAATACAACTACTAATTTGATCAGTAATAATATATTGTTAGATTTATCACCTCGTAATGTTATTAATTTATAATATAAGTGATTTTAAGTAATGTATTATTAGATTTTAATAGTTGTACTACAAGAAACTTAGTATTGGTCAGTAATTGACCAATTGTATTCTTACTGAAAGTCAAGTAATGAATTGTTGAAAGTAATAATATTAAAACTAAATCATTACTAGAGAAATATATACAATTTTGGTACAACTTCAAAGTACTTTTGAATACTATTTTTCAGTTTCTTTTTTAGTATTATATTTTTTAATAATTTCTAATAATTCTTTATGTAAGGACTTGTAAAAGTAAAACATTAATTTTTAAAGAAATTGAATGCTAATTTAACCAATCAAGTTCAAATAATGAAATCGAGTGGTTTAGTAAATAGTAGATTGCGGATATTTATGCAAATTCATACGCAATCAAAAAAATAAAACCTATAAAGTTTTGTCCACCAAATACCACAAACGATGCTATATATATATATATATATAAAAGATAATTTTAAGATAATCTTAAAGATATATATATATATATAAAATTTTCTTTAAAATTTTCATTAAATATCCGCGATTTAGTTATCAGTTCAGTTTCTGAGAGATTCAACCAACAACTATTACCGTGATAGCGACTGCCAATGAGTCTGCCACCGTGATGTACCCTGAGATGTCGATGAAGGTTTGTTGTTCCACATTGTCGTGGATTCGCTCCTCCCCTGACCACCACTGCCCCGCAGATTCGACACTGTGCACGCAGAGGATCGTTCGCGCACAGATCAAAATGTGCCCAAACCGCGCTCGGATTCGTCATAGCACGCAGGCTACGTGCATGAGACCGAACACGATGTGTAACACCTGCGTGTCGATTGGTAGACGACGAGGGTGACAGAGCTGGCATCTCGACCGTTTCCAAGTAACAGTCCTCCTCGTCCTCAGGCTCTTGCTTCATGGCGACGTCCTCGAGTCGAATGCTCTCCACAATATCTTCCTTGGAAGACGTGGCGACCTGTGCGTGGCAACTTCGGTCACGTTGCTGCTCCTGCAGGAGACGGCGGGTAGTCAGCTTCACGGTGTCCTTGCAGGCCACCAGTACAAGCCGACCCGCCGTCGAAGCCGTCGTGTTCGTTCTTGCTGTGCTGTTTCCCTGATTTTCAGTTCCACGCCGATCGTATTTTCGTTCCAGCGATGCGTTCTCTCTGTAGGACGAAAACGCGATACAGTACTGCCATGTTAACCCATTAAGGGGTTAACCAACATTTCGGTAACGTAACATCTCTCAATTTTCTTTTCAATCAAATTTTGTTTTTCTTTTTCTTTTTTTTTTAACATCGAGGTCGTGAAAAATTTGAATTTCAAGGATTGCTTTGGTACTTTTTTTCCCAGTGCTATCTGGCCGACGTAAACTCTACGACTCAATGAAATCAAGATAGTTATTGTATTACGATAAATTACGATTTACTTAATGGGTTAATTGACCGAGATCTTGTCTCGTTAAGTGACAAGCCTCACTAGTTTGTATTTTGTAGTATGTATCTTTGATACTACAGCACTGTCCCTCATAGTTTAAGTGCCTTGTCTAGTATTTCTTCATTTTTCAAATTGAGGAAAGACAATTTGAAAATTTATTGATAAAAGATTCGTTTTCTCTTTCCAGCGAAGCTATCCTATCTGTTTCATAGTTTCGTTATTATTTATCGTTTTCGTCAAAACTTATTTAAAAAGCATAAACAAGAAATTAAATACGAGCAATTTTTCAAGAGGAATCTCATTAATTAAAAAAACAGAAAAAAAAAAAAAAAAAAAATATTCTGCCCCGAATTTCAATTTTCGAATAACAGTATTGAAATATTAAATCCTTCGTGCTTTTTGCTTTTTGAATAAAGTTGTATCATACAGGTTGCGTTTAATATTATACAGGTTGAATTAATTACTTTTAAAGTTGAGTAAAAAGAGACAGAAATGGCATAAGAAATGATAGAGCTTCCTTCTAATTTTAAAATGATAAAATATCTTAAATAAAAAAGGCGGAGAAGTACTTTATTAATTACTACGAAATCGTATGTTATTTGGTCAGTTATCGAGAGAGGTATTATTTCTGGAAAATACATTGAGCATAAATGACACGCTCGTTTATACACTAGAAGCACCATGAAATTATTATAATTTGAAGATGTAAAGATACCAATGATCAGTTAATGTAACAAAATGATGGCCAGTTAACGCAATGCTACTGACATATATACATACATATGTAAAATGCATAATAGGGTCAGGTATCAATCAGGATTCCTACTTCCACTTAATCTATTAAGGTCCAAAATATGAAATGGCACATGAAGTATATATAAACGTAACGTTATAGCATAGGAAAAAATTTGAGGATCTAAAAATGTGAAAATTTGGAAACTTGAAGAATCAAGGATCTAAAAATTTGAGAAATTGTGCTAACGTAACATTGACTCTGAATGGGCTTAATGATAAATAGTATGTGAGATATCTTGGATATATCTCTTTTGATAACTAACCAGATAAGGCCAGCTAGTAAAGCATGACTGTCTTATCTAACGATAAGACAACACAGTAAATTGACATCTTCCCGCGTTATTTCACGAATCAATTACATACTTGTGCACGACGATAACATCCGTCTTGACGTTTCAGTCGTGTTTTAAAAAATGTCAAAGAGAAGATATAGGGAAATTAAATATAAGAATAGATTTGAAAAAAGTGAATTTACATCGTTCATCTTGTGTGAATATCATAAATGTGCGATTCGATATATTACAATTGAATCAAATTTAGAAATGTTAATCATTGTTATACTATATTTGTTATATTACATTCATGAATATAGCTTATGTAATTTATGTAGTAGAGAATATTTGCACATTGATGACTTTGGTGTAAGGAAGATGATGTGATGGTGAATGTCCCTGTCGTAAGTGTATCTATGATGTTTAGTTAATGGAGAATTATCATGTCAGGTAAACTATTCCAGGATATCAAGCTGAATGAAAAATTAGAATAATACGTCATTGAATAAACCGATGATTTTGATGTTGAATAAAAATTTCTGATTATTGTGGAACAATTCTGTAAGAGAATGCGAATAAATAGATAAAATAATGTACTTTTTTTATTAAGTTTTACCCAAAATAATGTATTTCTTTGTGTTGTGTTGAAAAGAATCTTACAAACAATACTCTTGATCTTGAGTATCATAATTGAATTTGAATGTATCAACGAGCGTAAATAAATACATTGTGTAATTTAAAGTACAAGGTTTTACAGCAGTAATAAGGAGAAAAAAATATTGAAATAGTATAATATATGACATAAATCTTTTGACATGGTAATACTTTAAAAATGTGTTAATAGTGAGTAGATAAAATATATATATATATGCTCGTTCACGCACTATCTTTCTCGTTTCTGAATGTCTCTTCATTACTCTCATTCCTTTTAGCACACCGTGTCATCACTCAACAGACGACACATGGATAATACATATTAACGATTTATCCGACGAGAATGTGCGATAGTGTATCACACACATGTGTATTACGCAGGCTAGATCGATATTGCATTATAACGTATTGGTTGATACAAATGATCAGAGGTGAAATGTAAGGGGAAAAAAANGGGAAAAAAAAAAAAAAAAAAAAAAAAAAAAGAAAGAAAGAAGAGAAAAAAACTGAATTTTTATAAATCTACACATACATACGCACATAGAGAACGATCTAAAACCATCTACGAAAGTTCTACTCTGCAAAGTTCCTTTTCTTTTTCTCTTCTCCCCTCTCTCCTACGCCGAAATCTCCCTTCCTCTCCCCACCATTAAACCACGTTCCCCATCTCATGTGCTGTGTTCCCTCGATCTTTCTCGCTTCTCTATTTTCTTTCTCTTTCTCTCCCTCGTTCGCTCTTTCTATCTTTTTCGCGTTCTCTTACTCACTCTTTTGTTCTTACTCTCAGTCCTCCCTCTCCTTGCCTCCCAGAAGAATTCTCTTAAGCGACCGGCTATAAAATGGCAACCGTTGCTACCAAGCACGATATCGAGTGGCACACGCCACTGCTACGTTGCTACATCTATTCTACTCTCTGTGCTTTCTTGCTTTCTCCCTGTTTTCGTCTCTCTTTCATTTTGCTCTCTGTCGTTCGTCACGGTGTGTCACTTGAATCGAATCTGTCGTCGTTCAATTCGCGGCTACGAACCGGTTCGATTTTCAGTACTGTGCGTTGCATCAGAAAATCGTCGTACCGATGACGACCACGCGACAATTTATCGACCCTCGTACACGATATTCCAAACTACACGAACGAATCGCTCGATTTCTTGTCCGAAATTTTGCTCCGTCTCGCTTTCTCTCTCTCTCTCTCTCTCTCTCTCTCTCTTTCTCTCTCCCTCTTCCTCTCTCTCGCGCGCTCTTTCTCTCTCTCTCTCTTTCTCTATACTTCTCTGACCGATCAGATTCTTACCAAAGATCAACACTGGTTTCCTATCGCGTTATTCTCGGCGTGTCTAATCTCGCTGACCCGTGTAAATGCCTGACGATTAAACCGGTATCGGAATATGATCGTCTACGAAGCAAATAAAGTGGCGACACAAGGAAATAATCGCCAAAAATCTCCTTCGCTTGTTCCTCCTCTCTTGTCGTATACGTCGAAGACGTACGAATATATACTTGTCACGAGTAGAGAAAAAAATTGTCGAATATCAGAGGCCGTGAGCTGTGTGTTAAGGATCGCGTTTATATCTCTATTGAATGAACCAAGAATTGCTATTAAATTACGTGCCCAATTTTTTTTTCACGACGCGTCTGGACAGTGTGGCTCGCCACGAGAACGGAACGATTTTCCCTGAAGCCGAACCCGGGAGTGACTAAAATCGAAATCGGTGGACGAACAGGGGCGCGTCAGGGCGCGCATGTGCGACGGCGCCGCCGGTCGTCGACGCATATTATCCGTCCGTACCGTGTTTCGTGTTGCTATCGTGTGCGCGTTCCCGGGTCTCTCTTCACTAAGGAATTACTAACCGACCTGATCACGTTTGACTCACTCGAGCCTCGACCGAGCGAATTCTCATCGATCGGGAGCCGTTTACCACGGTTCTCTTTTTCTCGCGCGCATCTTCAAGATGCCCGCCATTTTGGGTACACTGTACACGCAAATTGAAATGCATCTCTTATCCATTGTTTCATCCTCTTAGGAAACGTAGGATAATGTCGAAGGAATGCCGATGATCACGATCTTCGATTATTTTCCGATCATTTAAATTCTACAAACTTTTTTTTTTGCCAAACTCTACGATGTCACTAAGTAATTGAGAACATTGCCAATTAACTTTTAGTACAACAATCCTAACGTAAGATGTTAGTTTATCTGTTACCTGAATATCTGTAAACTAGGCTCCGACATTCGTTGTTATAGATTTTTAATTCAAGACAAATTACAAGACAAAAATGTAAAAATCACAAGGTAATGACAAAACGACATCCAAAGTATTTGATAGGCTGTCGACGATAATGAATGTGCCATCGATTTATCTCCATCTTTACTATGAGCTCAAATAAAGAATTATAATTAAATGATACTTTAAATACATAAAATAAATAAATATCCCTTGTTTGTATTTGGTTTTACTGTTATCTATTGCATAAAACTTATTCGTGTTATACATTGCAAATAAAATTAAATGCGAATCAGAAAAATTCTTTCTCATTTATTACTGATAACTCGTTATTTTACAAGTAACACAAACAGTTGTTGCATGTATATAATATATTATTACTTTCAATTCGACAGATTTTGACTGATAAAAATACAAAAGTTAAGAGAATATACTGGCCATTTGTCGCCACAATTGATTTTATTTATTATTCTATTTATTTTTCAAGAAAATATTTTTATTTGATTAATTTTATTTATTGCGTATTTATTTAAAAATTATATATTTGCTTTTTCATTATTTGTATAGGTATTTTGCTTTCAACATCGATTATTTATTCATTGTATTAAAAATGAAATATTTTCTCAGTATAGTATAAATTATTTTGTTTCAACTATTTGCTTGCAATAGAACGAAATTAAATGAAGACGTCATAAATAAATTTTTTTAATGACGAAATATTTAATAAAAAAATCAAATTGCTGTATAAATCAGTATGATATTGTAAATACTATTTATAGCTTCGCTAGCAATTTTGTAGTTGATATTAATTTTTAATTAGAAAAAAAAAAGAAAAAAATGCCAAAGTGTACAATGTTTGCAATGATTGAAAAAATAATGAAACGATTACATATTTTACAAATTTTTACAATTTCGTGTTGGATAAACAATCATTTTTAATACAAACAGCAGCCTATGTGATTGTTGATATATAAAGAACAATTAAATTTGATAGTCATTTGATATTTGCATGTACGTAATAATGCAATAAATATTGATAGTCTATGAGACTATCTATAGTTGTGTAAGTTTTAGTGTAATATAGGGGGTAAGCGAACAATCGTTTACAATCAATCTCTAAACCTCTCTCGTTCACTACGGATTTATACGCTATAGCAATTACGCTAGGCACTATCTCAAGATTGAAGAAATGAATTCATATACTTTGAACGTAATTATTGGACGTAGTTGCAATGCAAATTAAACATTAACATAAAGTAAATTTTACAAACATTAGAATTTATATATTTGTTCGATTAATTAATATTTACACGATGAACGTACTAGATAATTGAACATGAATAGCATACATTTAATTTTCTTTTTATATTGAAAAATTAATTATTAATAAATTAATCAAATAAGAATTGCATTCGTTACAACTTTTCAATTTATTCCTAATTTAGTTACAACAATTTTAAATCAGTATTAAAAGATACGAATCTCTCTAATTACTCTACTAAATTCTCTCTCATGCTTTTGGAGAATCATTTCATGAATTTTTATTGGTGCCTTAATATTTAGTACACAATAATACATTAAAAAGAAACTTTAATATACAACAACACATTAATACACAACAAAAGAAAAAATAAATACATCTCAATATTAAATTATATGCTCCATTCAAAACATAATATTTCCAATGTTCGTTTGAATCCAAATGAACGAATTGTTAAATGCATAAAAGTTTTCGAGATACTTACTTTTTCTAGCTGTAGCACGCGTTTTTCGCCTCCTATCTTTCTGCTCCTCCGGCATGTCATTCTCCTTGTGAAGCATTCGTTGTGACACGTTCATAGACTTCACAGTATTTCCTTCTACGTCTATGAAACACACAAAATTGCGATTTGACGCCGTACATTACAGAAACATCTTTTAACGTACAAGCAGAAATTAAATCAATGTGAAAGTTGCTGAACTTACTTGTTAACACGCTAGGCTTGCCAAGAGCCAAGTAACGTTTCCTAGCAACCTGAGCGGCTGCAAAATCTGGCTTATGGTTGTGCTCCATACGCACTCTCGGCTTCGTGCAACTCGTGGTAGTGATAATGCTGCCTCTACAATACATGGTTCGGCGGACGCATCTCCATCGGATATTATACGGTTGCTTCTTGTGCAATGTGTACATGTAACCGTGGTGAATTAATTTTGGCCCGCCTTTATTCGATAGCACAACCTGTGGAGTTCGGTACGCATTTTTAATTAATTAATTCCTGACGATTGTATTTAATTTAATTTAATTAATTTGTGTAACGTTATTATACATTACAATATAGTATTACATTTACAGTGATTCTAAAAAGTTTCATAAAAATTGTATAAAAAGTATTATTAAATGATGGGAGATTTCATATACTTGAACTTGATTAATTATTACAAGTAGAATGATATAGTTTTTCCAGTTTAAGCTTAAGGATGAAATTTCACAATATTTCACAAATTAAATTAAAATTTTATGTAAGTACAAAACAGTTAAATGTTCAGTAATATTTTGATTTTTCGTACTGTGCTGACCAAGTAATTGTCACTTATGTGAGTAACTCTAATTATTTAGAGAATTTGATACTAATTAAAGAATTTAATAATTAAATGGTAATTAATTTTTTTTTTTTTTTTGTTTCATACTTCGGCTACGTTCGGGTCATCATCGCCAGAATTGCCAGCAAGAACAGATGATGTTGATGCTTCTTCCTTGACCTCCGCTTTGTTTTTATTGGACGCACTTTTCATACGTTGTGGCATCTTGCTAATTCGTTTCTTATTTTCCTTAATGTAGCAAGCACTGTAAATTTTTAATCAATCATTTTTCTTGACACTGAGCTATAAAAATGATTAGTACTATTACAAAAAGTACTAGTCAAAACAATTGTCCGTCCACATATACATCCACGGATGACAAGCGCATATGTAATCTAATTTCAATAAATTATTATTATAGTTTTATCTTTATCAATTATTCTCAGAGCTTTCCTTTGAGCATCTCACCTTTTTTGCAATATTTATATATTAAAAAGATTAATTTATCATTGTTAAAAAATGCTTCATAAACAAAATCGGCTAAATTACTAAATTAATTTGTTGTATTTTACATTTTATTTTATTTGTACAAAAGTTGGAAAAATTTGAAAATTTGAAAAAATTGAAAAATTTTATTAAATTTTATTGTATAATATAATATAATATTTTATTATGTAATATAATATTAAATTATTAGATTAACTTACTACCAACTTTCGTTTTATTTTACATAAACAAAACGTTCAAACAAATGGCAAAATTCCTTTTTCAATCATGCACGAAACAAAAATTACGAATTACACTTTATTCCCAAATTTGGACGCGTTTCTTCAATGGAAGGCTCTCGCGGTCATCAATCTCAAATGATACATCGGCGTAACGATTTACGCAATTGCATGTTTGTCTGGTTTCTATTACTACGAAATCGTCTAAACGTGCCTATGCACACGCCAAAAATAGTACGGGCCAGAGAAATGAACAGCAAGTCTATAGAACCTCGAAAATCGTGCGTGCTAGCAGTTTGCCTCGTGTTCGTCCTTCTTTTTTCAATCTCTTCATCTTTTTTCAATTATTTCGTCTGCTCGGATTGCGAAGTATGCGGAGACATCATCTATTTCAAATTTCAAGTTTCGTTAATCATTATCGATGAATTAAGATTTCATCGAATCTGTAGATGTACGTATAATAATAAATTATTGAAACATCACATCTTCTATTCAGAAAGATGACAAATTATAAAATAAAAATACATTACTCTCTTAACATTCCCTTTTTTTTTTTTTTTTTCTTTTATCTGATATAATGTATTTGTAGACTTATTGCTTTTCAGCATTTTTTATATAGATATTCTTTCTGTCACCATTTTACATTGTCCTTCTCATCATTATGGAGAAATGCGAGATAAAATTGGTTAAAAATGCTCGTCGGTTTATTTATATCGATGCCAATATTGATGTCTGTAGATTCAACTCGGAGATTTTATTTAATTTGTGAAAAAATTTTATCTAATTCTGCGGAAAAGTGTGTCAGTAAATTAAATCTTATTGTGCCGTAATTTTTACTTTTATTTTGTCATTTTCTACCATTGTCTACTACTTGCGAACTTGTACTTCCGTTAAACATGATAATAAAAACGTTCTATAAAAATAAAAAAATAACATTCTTTTTTTATTTTCCACAACAATTCTAGAAACATTCTACGATAAATAAATTGTAAGAAAATAAACTTATCTAAAGTAAAAACTGAAATGAAATTACAAAATAAAAACGTTGAACAGAGTGCATCGTTCCGAAATCTTTATTTACTGAACTATCAAACAGAATAGTCTCTTAAATGAATGAAAGGTATCAAATAGTAATACTCACGTTTGTTTCACGATGCGTGATTCTATTGTAAAATTCACAGAGACGTTCAAACTATAATCATATATGTATACATATATATATAAAAAAAAAAAAAACCGGCAAGTATTTTCGGTAAACGGTAAATTCTGTTATTTCTGCTAAGAATCGTAATTGTAACTCTGTATTCGAATTGAGGTGGATTGATATTTAAGTAGGAAGCTTAACCGAGATGGTTTTACCTTGCGGACTGTCTTATAATTGTTTTCGCGAAAACTGTCGAATGGTCAACAAAAATGGCGAAACGCTGGTGATTCGATTTTGCGCAATAAACGCCACTGCCTGGAACAAGGAATATGGCACCGGACAAGCGCAATCGATAAACGGCACTATGGCACTCGTCTATGGTTTATTTGGCGCGTCATCCTTTCACGCTTTTACCAGTTACGCATGGATGGCGCTGATAGGGATTCGTCTGAATTTTCGTTTATTTTAGTGTTGGATTAACTTATTAACTCACGTCGATTAGCATTTGCCACGCAAAGTCGAGAATATTTGGCTCAAAATTGCAATATTTTCTCAGTTTTAAGTATATTGAAATACAACCTAGGCAAAACAAATAATAAATTTATTATTTTTTTTAGTAATTTCTATCCAGTGATATTGTATACGGTTTGGTCACTCGTTATGGTCCGCGAACCAGTTACTAGTGCAAGAGGTTAAAGCTTCTGATGTATTCGGCTGAAGCTTTGTGCTACGTGAATGTAGGATGTGTGAGAGTATTATAGCGTCATTTAAAACTTGAGTTTTCATCTTTCAACTTTATGATGTTGTGTGTATATATAAGCATATATGTATATACATATACATATATGTAGGCTTATCAAGTCGAATCGATGGCATCGATCTGTAGAAAAAGCTGATACACATTCGAATCTTTGCTAAAATGACTAGATAGATTACTTATATACAGAGTGTCCCAAATATTTATATTTATATAGTTCATTTAATTTAGCTTCAAAACTGGGAAAATTGCACGTATAAAAATATCATTTGAAGCTTATTTGCAAATTATAAACGATGTCATTTTATATTAGAATTATATTTTTTTTGCCATCTTACATTTTATGTTTCTTATTCTAACGATATTTAATATTCACAAAGCTATGCAGCATATCATACGATTATGATTTTTATTGTTGTATTAGAATGAGAAATATGAAAGAAAAAGCAGAGAAAAATTACCATTTTTGATGATAAAATAAAATTATTTAATTACTATTGTTGAAAAATAAGCTTCAAACAGTATTTTCTTGTATGCTCCATCGTTTTAACGCCTATGATTTCTATTCTATAAATATTCTCCTATATTTTATGATACCTTGATGACAACTCATCGTTCCAAATCTGAAAATCATACGATAAATTAAATTTTTTTACTTTTCGATTTTTATATTACATTATAATTGAATATTTCAGTACAAAATTATCAAAAATGAAGAAAAAAAAATCTATCAAGTTCAAAAATGCAGAGTGACTGAAGTTTTGTAAATGTAAGGGACATTTTTCAATTATAAAAAGCAAAAAGGAGAAAAACATATACGTAGTATACGAGATGGAAAAAATTGAGAAATAAGATTGATTCAACAACAATGTTGCATTTTCAAAGGATTGGAAAATAGAAAAGATGATTCATTTTGTTCCTGAATATGTTACAGTTTGGAGCGACTGAAACTGAGAATTTAGTTTCTGAATAATGAAAAAACGCAATATACGTCAAAGTATATAGTAATTTAATTTAAAGACAAATGTGCACGCAACACAAGGAGCTTGTGTAGGATCTTTAATATTCTACACAGTGACTTTAAATTCGATTTTTTCTAAAACAAAAGTTTGATTTCTTCTGATTTATTTTTTCGCATAGAAAATCATTTTCTTTTTTTTTTTTTGGTCATAATTATTACCCTTTATACGTACATGTGTGATTTTTGATTCTAGTAGCATAAAAAATATATATTTCTGATGGAAGTTATAAATGGTCGTGCAAGTCAGTATACGCGACAAGAGATTCTGGATTGGTGAAATTGGAAACATCCGTATCAGCGTGGATAAAAGCCAGTAACTATATCCGCAATAATCACTTGAATAGTATGAGAATATACATATAGTGAGCTCATGAAAGTGTTCAAAAAATTGTCAATATTTAAACAGTTTTTGTAAAAAGAAATCTTACGTGCTCGTTTTGAAGCTTGGAGTCATTACTTTTAAAACGCGTTGTTCATTTTATTTTAACAATAAGATGTTTTTATAGCATGTATTAATTAAGTGAAAGTAAAAAAAAAAAAAATTTATTTCTTGAAAGTAAAAAAAAAATTGTCGTGCCAACGTAACAACGTTAACAAAATTTTTTTTGAAGTTGAAGATTAAAGCCTTTCTTTTACAACGACCCATCAAAATTCGTTGTCTTTTCTTGCCAATTTATTAAACTTTAAACATGTATTGGGCTTAGATGATGAAAATTCAAGAAAACGTAACATTTTCCTCGTTACATTCATTTTCGCCTGATATAAACATTGTGAAACATGCATTTCGAAAGTAGAAAGCTAGATTCCAGGTTGATTATTTTATTTTTATGAATTTCTTATTTTTCTACGAAATCACAACAATTTAAACATCGACAATTTTTCGAACATCGGAAATTTAGCGTTCAAATACTTTCATAAATGACTATAAATACATCGATTATTGTGTTCTGAATCTCTCTCTCTCTTCGTGATTTTTCATTTCAAAGAAATGAAAAAAAATTTTGTTCATCATATACATGATAAATTTATCAAAATGTCTGATTATTAGTATGCTACATTGCATATTTAAAAAGTATACATATAGTATAAATATAAAATAAAGCTTTTCTTTTTTTAATTCATCTCTTTCTTGATATTTCATCATCAATAATAATAACATTTTTTTTTCTATATTTACATATGTTGTATTTTACATAAAAATCTCCATTTTCTTTTTATTCAAGTTTCTCGTCAGCACTGATCTATAAGCAGGATAAAAAGTGAGAATACATTTTAAACTGTTTTAATAATTTAAAAAAGATAATACTAAAAACTTAATAATTTAAAAAGATAATACTAAAACAATAATTTTAATAATTTAAAAAGATAATTTAATTTAAAATAATTTTAATAATTTAAAAAGATAATTTAATTTAAAATAATTTTAATAATTTAGAAAGATAATACTCAAAAAATATATATATCTCGAAACAGATTGTATAATACAGATTGTATAAGCAATATCCATACTCAAAACAAAGAGAAAGAGAGAGCAAAAATTGACGTTTACGTTCTGCAATATTGAAAATGCAAATTTGAGGAATAAAAAATAACAAGGTACTTTAAAATAACATAATTTGTAGTGAAATGTTCTAGTTCCATGAATTACGTAGTAGATTAACGAGCCTATTTTAATTGTGTCTATTACTCATTCTACAGGGCATGTTAAAAGACTCGTTTGCAATGATTCATTGTTTTTAATGTAATTTATAGAAATACAATGTCAATTAAACTGATTATGTTAAATATTGTTTCCTCGTATGCATTATGTAACCGAACAACGATATAGACAAGACTAACATAGTGGTGACCTTCGGTAACATTATTTCTTCACACAAGATTTTTTTTTTTTAATTCCTACTTTACTCCTAGGTAATTATTATTATTATTATTATTTATTTTTTCCCCCTTTCTCACCTTTCATTCATTTGTTTTCAACGCCATATTCGATTCTTTTCACAAAAACTTTATTCATTTCCTTTCTCTTCATACTTTCCTCCTTTTCTAGCATGTGCAATCCTTCATTGTTTCTTGGCAGCGTTTTTAGACGATGAATAATCAATATCGAGATGAAATAATTATCAGGAAGGAAGCTTTGAACTTGAATTCGAAAGATAATAAATTTAGAAAGTCACATGCTTTTTTTCAAAAGATTGTTGTTGTATTGAAATTCTCCATTCTGCTTGAGAAATATATATATATATATATATATATTTATATTAAGGGACAATTTCAATACAACAATAACATATATAATAATCACATATATATATATATATATGCGCTATATTATTTTAAAGACACAGGCAACATATATGTAACGTCAAAAATTCTTATCTTGCAAAGATTAACTCTCCATGAACCATTTTATGCGATACGATTAACATTAAGATTAACCAAATATTAACATATGTATGTATTTTCTAAGAGTTTTATTTTATAACGATAAATAATAATTAATAACGAGATAAATATCATAGAATGAATTGAGAATTAACGAGCATAATTACAATCCGCAAAATTTGAACGTAAATAGATATTTAATTATACGATATTTATTACAAACGCGCTTTGTACAAATTTACTCAGAGCATAATTGGAATAAATGTATCAAACGAAAATTTTCGAATTTTTCTACTATGTTTATAGTAGAGCTATAGCAATATATAATATATCTATATATATTTGAATACTTATTTAACTTAAATGTCAACCAGTTAATTTGCAACATTTCGTGGATCGTAAAGAATATTTCTTTTTCAACAAATTTATCAAGTCTGATTTAAGTATGCTAATAATTACAATTGTTTTCCGAAACAGTTGTTGAAATTGAAGGAAATTATTTGATTTAATTAAAATTTATACAGAGCACAAAGCCATAAGTAAAGTACATGAAAAAATTATAGCAAAAGAGTATAAAATTTTTTCGTTCAGTTTTGTTTTTTTTATTGTATTACAAGTACTGTTGCTGCATGTATAATTTTCACTTTTATCAAATCGCTGCACAATTTTTTCATTTCAACTGCGTAATATTTCCAATATTTAGATTAAATAACTGTTTTTTTTTTTTTTTCTTTTACATATTCATGATATTTCATGAATTTTCAAACTTATTTTCCTGCAAGCCTCGGGCGAAAATTTATACCAATTTTTTTTTTTTTTTTTTCATGTAGAATCATCTCCGCACCCTGTATTTAAATTTAGAATAGAACTAAAATTTAAAATCGAATTCTTGATTGAATTTCTTTTAAAAACATGTTTCTCTTTCAAATTTCGGGCTAAAAAATTTCTTCTTTAAAGAGACTGGGCTAAAAAATTTGTTTTTTAAAAAGACTACCCTGAATTGTCTGAAGATAGATAAGTTCCAATATTTTTAAGGTATACAGGTATACACGATCTGATGTTAAGTTTTTTGATAGCTGGAATCTTTTTAATGTATTAGTAAATTCATCTTGACGTTCTCTACGAAGTATTTACTTATTTATGTTAAAACAAAATATTAAATAAATAAATATTATAACTTTAATTTTGTAAAACCTATCCCATCCCAAGACAAAGGTTACATAAATACAAGAACACTAGCCATGTCTTTATTTTTCTTTTATACGACACACGTTAAAAAATTAATTAAAATGTTTAGTAATGTAATGTGTTTTCTGATGTAGAAGGAACGCTGAAATGGATTTACCAGTGCTTTAAAAATTGTACGATTCTATGTAAAAAAGCAAAGGTGAGTTTCACGTGTTCTTTATGTATTCACCTATTAAAAATTTATTATTAACATCAGATTACGCGTTCCTCGATACCAAGCAAGTTTAATTTAATGCATTTCTTTCTGTCCACAACAGCCGAGATATTCAGGATTTTAAGTACTTCACTCTGTATAAATGTGACATCCGCTTAACGTCTTCAATTTTTCTCGAATACAAAGTTTTTAAAAAACTTCAATTACTGTAGAGAAATTGCAAAAATCTGAAGAGGAAATCCCTGCTCTTACCAATAAAAATTAAATTAAAGATTAACTGTAGATATTTATAAGCAATTAAATAATTGAGTTACTGAAAAAAACGTCCACTGTAAATCAATAGGAATTTTTTATTTTATATGTTTTGGTTTTTTGCAGTAATGGTGGCCAGCAATTGAAAAGGGATTTCAAAGCTAGTGAATGATTTTGTCATTTTATAGTAATTCAACTTGGGAAGAATTTTATGTATTACAAAATAATGTGTTATAATATCGTAGTGTAATAAAAATTATTACATTATCAAATAAAATTGAAATATAAAGTTGAAAGTTAAGAGTTATATATTTCAAAAACATTAAAACTATCATAATTTAGTAATTATGTATTTTGAAAAAAATTTATAAACTTTTACCTATTTCTGGAAGATCTTCCCAAACTTGAAATAGTTTATCCCACTGCACGTTCCAAGATTCGTTTTCAATTGATCGTTTAATATTTATTATGAACCTCTATACATTAAATTGAAAATTCGATATTTGTCAGTGTGATTCAAAACAATCTGATAATTGACCAAAAGTGCACTTTCTATTAAACTTATTCTTAATCTATGCCATAGGGTAAATCCAATCGTATTGTAGAATTTATCATAAAACTTTTTTCTTTAACCAAATACTTTTTTTTTTATTTGATATATAAGCATACACAGGTTCACGAAACTATTCAAACACTTGCAGATTCCTTTAATAAATGTTGAATAATTAATGTAAGTGACTGTCGAGTCGTTAATTATGTCATTACGAGTAATGTTCGAAATAGCCATGCAATTACTAATTAATCAGATTTTGTGAACAAAACAATATATTTGTTTTGAATCAGTTTTAAGAAATTAATTACAGTATCTGATCTTGTTTAATTCATAATGACTAGACATTATTAATAATGCTCCTAATCACTTATTCCATAACAAATGTATTATGCACTATACGAAATATTTTGAAATTTCATTAGTCCCCACTGCTATGGGACTATCATGATAATACTGACAAAGTTTAAAACAAATTTAAAAGCTTATATAAAAATTACAAGTTATTTAGTGTATGTTTTGCAGAGATTATAAAAATATTCAGACAGTCAATTATCTATCTTGAGTTAATTAAGTTTGGGTTAGGCAAACCTACCAACTATGCAGTGTCAATGATACAATATATGAATAAATTTGAACAAATATAACTCAAAATTTAATTCAAGTTTAACCTAAACTCTAAAAGGCGATATATCATTGAATATATGTATACAGTGTTAAAAATAATGATAATTACTCAAATTTTATCAATATAATCAAGACAATGGTCCCTCGTTACAATGTTAGAAGCAAATTTCAAACTATTTTATATAATACATGGAAATATGGAAATAAGAATTACCTATGATATGAGTTTAAACGTTTTCGTGAACCAGTTCATATGATGGGCTAAATAAAAAAATATGTTGTTTTTCATGATTAAAAAAATGAATGTTGGAATGTGTACTATACATAGATTATTGTGGTAAAATATAAATATGTATAACATAATAATACACATAGATAAAGGCATAGCGAAGACATGCAAGAGATTGTTATGAATAAAGAACACAAATGGATGCATTGAACCGTCCTGTACATATAAAATTCTTTTCACGCTAGTTATTCATAACTTTATATATACAAATTTGTCGTCTCTTTCCGCCTACATCTGATTCTAATTTCATCACTTTAACCGATCGTCCGCTACAAGTTTATTCTAATGTTTGCATACACATAGAAAAGTTGATCGTTGAACAGAAAAACGAGTTGCCAATGCCTTCAAAATGTATTTGTAGATGTCATAGTATTTCGTAAGATACCTACCGATATTTGTGTATTTTGGTTCGCGTTTGAAAGACAAACATTTTAAACATAATCATTTCCATTGGTTTCGTTATGATCTTTCGCCTACCGGTGGGTATTTTCCCTTTCTTCTTGAAAAAACACTTGCATACTTTTTGTTGTAACTTGTTAACTTATTTATTATTCTGTGTCACTATTTTGGTGCTAATATAAAATTTTATTTTATATTAATGTTTGTCCTGTGGTTAATATTTGAGGATAACTGATTACTTCAATTCCAATAGTGAATATTTATTGAATTATCTATATTTGCTGTCCAAAATCGTCAAAATTTTCAATTAGGTGATGATAAAGTCCTAATAAAAACTTTTGAGCTTTCCTGTTGTCATTAAGTTCCTGTCACCTTTTCAAGTCAGAGTTTTAATAACTAACGCTTAGTAGCTCTTGACAATTAGAGTTTACGTTAACATCTTGAAGACTTAGATAAATACGTATTGCCTACCGGTGGCAGATTTAAAAAGCGCTGTATTGTATGTGATTCAATGTATTGAGTTCCATAACAGAATGTTCTTGATTCATCTCAACGTACTTGAGTAATAAAAATAATAAGTAAAACTTTCCACGACAATTTTCTCCATTATAATGACTTAGCAATGATCGTTTGTGCCGATTATAACAAGCTGGATGTTTTGGCACTCGTCAATGATACTTTACAATTTCAATTTCACCAAGAACGAAGCAAATTATTCGTAGAGCTGCTCGTTTTACACATTTACATTTATTATTAAGTTAATATTGAAAGGTCCGCCTTACATAGTAATTATAAATAATACATCTTGACAAAGAAACAAGGATTGTTAATACATATTATATTATTATTATTATTATTATTATATATATATATATATATATATATATATGTATATATATCTTGAATTTCATCTATTTATTTAATCACAAGAAAACAAGAAAATATAGCTGATAAATTCAAGTGAACTTAAATATATTAAATACAGCTGTAACAAGCGTATCTCTCCATTAAATACCTCCGTTATTTTATTTTTACAAATAACCCAATTAAAATAATCACGATAACTAAATATCTACAAATAGTTAATTTTATACAGAAATAGTACTTACACACAATCACCTAAATATCGAGATGTGATCGTTTTGGAAACAGTAACTTGGTTCGTTGATGGTGAAACCGAATAAGAATGATAGAATCGAGTGTGTGTGTATGTGTATGTGTGTGTGTGTGTTGTGTGCTTCGACGTAAGTCTATAAATGAAATATTTGTCTATGAATCTTACGTCGTAGTACAAATGAAGGAACAAAATGCCAGATCGCGACGACACAAAGGCACGACGAATTTGTAACTCCTCCAACCGTTAAAAATGTCCTTTTTCAATTAACCATTTCGAGTCTATCCTTTATTTATTTATTTTTTTTTTATTAACAAAGTAGTAAAACGTATACTGTAATTGTAAGAAAAAAGAAAATTGGTATCACGCAGACTCGAAAGGATTCGATACTAAATTTCAGACGTCTAATCCTTTCAGCTTTCGTACTATATATCGTTTTACTGTATTACAATTTACTACATTAAATCGTGAAAAAGTTCACTCTAAGGAAATAGTTGGGCGTTTAAAAAAATCTTTGTCTCTGAAAGGATTAAACGATCTCATACAGGAAGGAATTGTTTGCTACGTCTACACATCGTAAAAATGATGAAAAAGGAAGAAATTTAGCGGGCGTTAAAATCGTTTTGGCAATGTTGTAAAATACATACTCGCATAATAATAATCTAATCGCTTCGATTTATTTTCTACGATTAATGTTAAATCTGTTTCTTCTTCCCTCTTTTTTTTTCTTTTTCTTTTTCTTTTTGTCTGTTTCGTCAAAAAAAAAAAAAAAAAGAAATTAGCAGGACGTGTTCTGTCGATAACGGAATAAATTGTTGATAAACGTTTGTCAATCAAGATATCACAAAAATTAAACCAATTACTTAAACTACACAGGTCAATTAAAAAGAAGACGCATTGAACTTCTCGTTAAAAATATAAAAACGCGACAGTATTTAAATAACTTGTAAAATGCTTTCCTATCTTTTTTTTATATTTTTTCATTTTTCATTTTTCTCGATCATCAAGCTAAAATGACGTAAAAAGACATGTCAAAAAAAAAAAAAAGAAACATATTTAACGAAATACCAATGAAGTCGCAAGATTTAATGGCAAATATCGAATAATTTCAATCGGTATTTAAGTTGCCGGCTCACAAAGTTCACACGTCGTATAGTTTTACATCACACGGTACAACATAGTATGATTTAAAGATAATATACCAATACAAAGTGCCAAGAAGTTATTGAAATATTTCAAATACTTCATCACTACAGATTGACAATATACGAAATCTTTTTGAGACGGCATCAAAAAATACACGATTACAATGAAATGTTGTTCATGATTATAAATTTCTTTTTTTTCTTTTTTCTTTTTTTTTTTACTATTGAACAAACAAACGACGTATGTATCCAATAGTAATCAGAACCTTCTCTGCTCAGTTTTTGGGAATTATAACAAAGTGCCTTATATATGTGATAACTTTGGAAGCTTCGAATGCATCGTTTCATCATCCGCGTGCTCTTTTTTTTTTTTTTTTTTTTTT